CCAACCTCTTGCTTTATTACCATAAATCTATAAGCAGCACTGTTCTGAGCATAACCTACAAACATACAATTAATAGTCCTAGGTCATAACCATTTCCTTTTAGGTTCAGGAATTAAGACTTTAGCAAAACAGCCCCACACTTTAAAATATTTCAGGTTAGATACATGACATTTCCGGAGTTCATATGGTGTTTTGCTTGTTTTCTTAAAAGGAATTATGTTTTGTATGTAACAAGCTGAAAGCATCGCTTCCCCCTACAAATTAAAAGGTGCTCCAAAACTAGTCAACATAGCATTCACCATTTCTTTTAAAGTTCTGCTTTTCCTCTCAGCATCTCCATTAGACTGTGGAGAATAAGGAGGTGTAGTCTCATGTATAATACCATGATCTCTACAAAAAGAATCAAAGTCATTTGACTCATATTCACCTCCTCTATCTGTTCTTAACCTTTTAATTTTCTTATTGAGTTGATTTTCAACTTCATTTTTATATGTTAAAAGCATTTTAATTGCTTCATCTTTACTTCTCAATAAGTATACTCTAGTAAATCTAGAGTAATCATCAATAAAAGTTATATAAAAGTTTTTTCCTCCTCTGGTCATGGTTTGTTTCAAATCTCCAAGATCATTGTGAATTAAACCAAGAAGCTTATTTTCTCGTTCTAGAACTAGTTTACAAGTCTTTTTAGTGGATTTAGATTCCACACACACATCACATTTATCAATATTTGAAATAGTGACATTTAATAATAAACCAAGTTCTTTCATCTTTTTCAGATAACCATAATTTACATGACCTAATCTGCTATGCCATAAATATATTGAATCAATAACATAAGCAGAAGAAGATGCATTTTCATTCATAATAATATTGAGTATACTGAGTTTAAATAACTCTCCAGAACAATACCCCTTCCCAACAAAAGCCCCATTCTTGGACATTACAATTTTGTCACCCTCAAATGAGACTTTCACTCCAGCCTTTCCCAATACATAAACAGATACAAGATTATATCAAATGTTTGGAACATGTAAAACATTACTCAGTGAGAGGGTTTTCCCAGAAGTAAGTTTGAGAAGAATTTTCCTCTTTCCCATAACAGGATTAAAGAGGGAATCACCAAGGTAAACGCATTCTTCTCCATTCCTCTTTGGTATATATTCATAGAAAGAATTTCTATCTCCACAAATATGTTTTATGGCCCTAGAATCAATTATCCATTCTTTCTTTTCAGCAATCATGTTCACTTGTGAGACAACCACAGTAGCAATAACATCATCTCTCTCAGCCAGATTGGCTTTAGGAGGATTTTTGTTGTCTTCAGTTTTTCTGTATCTGCATTGGCTAGCAAAATGTCCAGTTTTCCCATACACAAAACAGTGTCTTTTCTTTTTGAAAGCGTTGGGGTTTTTGTTGTTAAACAATTTCTTACTATTGTTCTTAAAACTCTACGGTTTCTTGTTCTTAGGTTGAGAAGGAGTCACTTGGTTTTCAACAACATTAGCCTTAGATGTCAATTCATTGGCCTTATCGGCTTTATCGATATGCCTATTCGTTTCTTAATCCTAATATGTACTATCACATCTTCTAAGCTCAATTGCTTCCGCTTATGTTTCATACTATTCTTATAATCTCTCCATGAATCTGGAAGTTTCTTAATTAAACAACCAGCCACAAAAATTTCTGGAAGAATTATTTCTTCATTTTTCAAGTCATTTATCAATAAATAATAGTCATGGACTTGGATGGATACCTATTTTTCTTCTACCATTTTAAAATTTAGGAAGTTTCCCATGACATATTTTTGTGATCCAGCATCCTCAACAACATATTTCTTTTTCAAGATTGTCCATTGTTATGGCAAAAAATCATCTTGAGCCTGACGAGGCCCAATAACGAAATAAACATGTCACGGCCCAAGACCTCAACCCAATCCCGATTGGGCCTACGCTTAAAATCACCTTGTGAACTACACACTCTATGGTTGGGCTATCCTATAAGTTAAGTTAAACTGGGTTTCAGCCCATTAGCCTGCAACAGTCCATAAACAGGAAATTAGAATCCTATTCTATTTCATCTTCTACTAAGATTCTAAATCTTACTCAAATTATTAAACTTAATCTAATAAAGTCAAGAAATCATATTTCTTTCTTGATAGGGATCATATCCCAAAATATGATTTAGTGTCTTACTAGGATTCCAACCCCTTGGGTTCACTATATAAACAAAGGTTTGCCTTCTCATAAAGGAGGGGAATCTGCCATAGTCAATCTACACTACTTAAACCCATCTATTTGCTCCTAAAGTTCTTGCTCCTGAGAACCCGACTCCTCCGCCGTAGTCCTAGCCTCCAACAAGACTCCTGCTAATTCTTCATCTCCTTAATTCTTATCAAATAATCTTTTTCAACCTTGCTGACTTGAGCTTCGGAGTGCTTCCGAAAAACACCACCTCGGTGTTTTTCGGAAGCTTCTCGCTTGTCCTTTCGTGTGTGCAGGTCTAGTGGATTGTCAGTGGCCTCAACCTCACGGTATCAGACCCTATTTTCATGACGGTAGATTTTTGCATCCACATTCATATCTCATGTGCAGTTTTATAAGCGCAATAAACATCATAAAACTCATTCGATAATGTACTGAGAATAGTATGGCGACATACCTTATTTCCTTTTTTCCATGTATCAAGTTTTTGTCAAAATTGTCCACTCCAGGTTTTGGTTCTTCTGTTGAGAGATACTCTGCAAAACCGAGCACATCCAAGGAGTAGAATACTTTTTCTTGCCACCTCTTGAAATAAGCTCCGACAAAAGGCTCAATTTTGGAGATGTTAGGAAGTGATTTGGCAGTGAGAATTGCAGCATCCATCTTGGAAAAGTTTTGATCTTCAGATTGTTGAAATTTAATAATAAAATTGACGGCAAAATAGCAACAGCAAACCAGTGAAAGAACAGTAACAAAACAGCAGAAGAACAACAGTTAAACAGCAGGAAAATAGCAAGAGAACAGCAGGAAAAATAGCAGAGAGACAGTAGCAAAACAGCAAAAGAACGGCAGTGAAACAACAGGAAAATAGTAAGAGGACAGCAAGAAAACAACAGAGAGATAGCAACAATACAGCAGTGAAACAGCAACGAACACAGTAGCGAAATAGCAGCAAGACAGCAGCGTCAAGGCTTGCAAAAGCACTGTCCTTAAGATCAAAATTCCGCCCCTACTGGAAGAATCTTCATGATGCAAAAATGCTCAACAATGGATTGACCTCTAGGATATAATGACGAATCTCCTTTTAGAATGCACACTTTAATAGAGATTTAGAACAATGATATAGAAGTAACCGAGTAGTGATGATATGATATCAACAATGAGAACTAAAAAGTGATTTGACACAATATGAAAATGGGAGCAAAAGCAATTAGAGTATATCACAAATGAAAAGGAATGGTCCTTTTATACACAAAATATTTGGATGTTACTCTCCCAATAATTAATATAGTAACAACCAAATTACTCCAATTTATTAATATTATAACAGCTGAAATCATAATAGCCACCCATAAAACTGTCACTCACCTATTAAAACTCAAAAAACTGTCATTATACTAATTGCATAACAATCATTTTTAAATTAAAAATTGAAAGTGTTATTGCTTTAATTGCATAACAGTCCAAAAAGCAATGAACACTTGGTATTTTGAAATACCATAATGGCAGCCATTATCACATATATTCCCTTTTCTTCTTTTACTTTTTTCACTTAATCCCATCAGCTGTCCTGTACAGAAGTGTAAAATTTATTTTGAATTCTAGAAATGCTGAGGGATGTTAAATAAGTAAGCATATGTAATAATCTGTTAGATCAATTATAATTAACATAACTCAGTTTTGCATTGCAGTTGTAAAACTCACTTAAGTATGCTGCAGGGAGCAGAGTGGTTAAGATACAAGTGAAGTTAGCGCCAACACTTGATGAATTAGTGCAGCTGCTGCTGGCGTAGGAACTGGAGAGGGATTCGTTTAAGAAGAATAAACAAGCCTTTACATAACGCAACACAACTTTTATGTTTTGTCCAATCAAATCTTTCTCCATTAAAAAGATGCTTAGGCAAATAAAAGATCACAGTACTTTCAACACTGGTAAGGACTAAAGATCGCAAGTTACAAACATAAGTCAGCTTAATAATTTAGTTCTTTGTTTATGTTCAATGTTGATATGTACTGTTAAACAGCAAAAAAACTGCATTTGTTCTCTGCTAATAATATGAATTGTGACTTGTGTTTTTGAGTGGCCACAGGAACCACTTTGGCATTTCAACTACAACAGAGTAACTATTCAGAAAGGTTCTTCTCTTTTTCTCTAAAACTATTAATTATAAAGGGGAAAAAATGCTTTGCCATCTAGCAAAATTCTTAAAAAATTTACACCCCTTGAATGTTGATTCCACTTCCACACTTCTGGCTTCACCCACTAGAGATGTTGGGGCAATGAGACCTTATACAGTTGAGAGATAATGAAATATAATACTGTAACTTGCCCCTCCAGTGTGATGAAGAAATGCTCTCCATTATGATTCCATAGGTGAAAAAACTGTACTATAATATACAGGGGTGGCAAGGCATCACATCATTTTTAATGGAGGAGTTTCTGCCTCCGCCTAGCCTCTCCTTATTTTACATATCTAATCCTGACCATTATACAGAGCACATTAAGGGGTCACAATTCATAGATTTTGATGGAGTCTACTCTCATCTTTTAGAATTCCCTTACCTTAATTATTAAAAAATGACACCAAGTTGTGTCACTTTGTTTGTTTGTTTAATTTTATTTTATTTTTAAATTTGGGGTATAGTTCATTACGTCCCTCGAATATTAATATAAAAAATAAAAATAAAACCTAGGATGAGAAGATCAATTGAATATTATAAAACATTATTTTGTGTATTGGTTTTTCTGCAGTTAAAAAATAAGTAAAAAGTAAAAACAATGCTACGTTAAATGTTTTGTTCTGGCATTGCTTCAAGGAGTAAATAACAGACAAAAAAGGAGGACATTTTTATAAGGAAGTAATCTAGAAATATGCTCAAAATTTATGCCCATTTGGCCAATATAGACATGCAACCAGCTCCAAGAAGAAGAGAAAGATTAGCACCTAACTGTAGCCTAACATTACTTTGCAATATTGGACTCATAAAATCTGCAGCAAGCAAATCAACAAGTGCCATATAAATCAAAATCCCAGCTGAGGCTGAATTAAAAGTCCCCTGTACAACCAGAGCTGTTGGGCTGTTCTCATTGTAAAAACTTGAAATTCCAATGCCAATTGCAATCCCAACTGGGGTTGTAAGGGAGAAAAATGTTGCCATTATTGCCATAGATCTTGACTTGAACTCTGCCTACAAAAAGCACCCAGAAAGTTCGTGCAACTGTTAGTAAAATAATTTCAATTGGTTAAGGAAATGACAAGTGTGGGCCCTTTTTGAGTCATTAAAGTTGATTAGAATATTAGAATAATTGTTAAACTGTTGATTAGTGGGTTTTTATTGAAGGGTGTTGACAGGATGACAACATTCTCCATCAACTAGTTTCATCTTTTGAACTGTAGGCCAGTCTACTTTTGCTTAAACTTAGATATATTTTGACTTAAAAGATTAGGAATGAGCACATAATGTGACATATATTTTGGCTTAAAAAGTATTTGATTACTTACCTGAGAGATGCAGCCGCCAAGTCCCATGCCTTCAAAAAATTGGTGAAATGACAAGGCTGCTAGAAGAGGTTTGATTGTGTCTGGGTTCCCAGAAGCACCCAAAGATATGCCAATAATCACTGAATGTACTACAATTCCCAACTCCAATACCTACACAAATTCAACCCAAAATACCACAAAAATGTCAACATATATGTGCACTATGCATGAGCTTTAAAAATAGTTATCTTATTGTGTGAGTCTCTCGTCTCCGCGACAGATCTTGCCTGAGTCAGTCGGGACACAGGATTATCCTCTCCGAACTCACGTTTTGAGTCGGGGGAGAGCTTTATTCCGGCGGTGTATATATATAAATATGAGGTAATGTTACCTTCTAGTACTCTAGTACAATGAAAAAAAAATGAAATCTTGTAACTAATTCATCATCAACCTGAAGTTCAGTAATACCTAATAGGTAAGCTTACCTGCAGTACTCTACTATGAACTAATATTCATCGTCAACATAAAATTGGGTGATACCAAACAAATTACAGAAACAATGAACAAACGTGTACTACTCAAGCTTACTTGTGAAACAACGCGTTGGCGGATGAGCTCAAGGAGAGCCAAATCATGAGATGAATGGTCTACAGAGCCGCCATGAGCGTGGCCATGTGTAGCATGTGTATGAACATGAACATGACCTGCATGTTCATCGGCTCTCTCTTCATCATGATCAACACCCACCAGCTTATTCTTATTGAAATGCTGCCGCTTATAGTACCCTGTCGCGAACGAATCAACCATTAATGTTCCTATGGAGGACATCATGGCAACAAAGCCTGTGAAGGGAAACTTCCCCCATGGATTTTCACCAAGACAAGGCGAAGTTAACCTGTCAAATGCTTCAGGAAGGATGTGAATGAACCCAGTTGCTAAAATAACTCCGGCTGCGAAGGCTTTAACCATGAAGAAAATATCCTTCTCTGGCCTTAAAGATGGAACTTTCTTGCTCAACAATGGAAGACTCACACCAAGAGCACCAGCAACGAGAATAGTAGCAATTGCAGCTAGTTTATACTTAAGTGCTTCACCGCTATATTCTTCGAAGGCTTCAACTTCACAAGAACACTCACCAGAGACAAGAACTATAGGAAAAAGAAGAAAGCAAAGACAAACTAGGTTAAAGGAGTTGGAAGAATCAGAACAAGGTTGAAGAACAGTCATGGTGTGTTTGTTTGAGAGAATTATTAAAGGGCGATGAGCAAATTATAAAGAGAAAAAGAGGGTAGCTTTTGGGTTTGTGGGTTTGTAGTAATACACACACGTATATATAAAGGAAAAGAATGATCAGCAATGGTGGTGACAGTGCAGATACTGGGTGGCTAAAAATATAAGAGCATCTAATACAGTCAACAAACATATATAACATAATATAAAAGAGAAATGAAGTGAAGACCATCGGTTCTAATCAAGAACTTAATTCTTTATACTGTTAGCTGGCAATGGTGTATTCATTACTCTCTTCGGGACACAAAAAGCCAAAGCACGTGAAAATAAGTTTATCGTTAAATGTTACATAATCTAGATTTTAATTATTATATATTATTGTATAAATACTTATAACAACTTTTACTTTGTAAGTTTATAAACTTTATATTGATATATACAAATACAACGTTGTTGTACTGGATGAACCCAATAAGTTTTTCTATATAGATTTGAAGGTGATTAATTGTTAACCTTTTATTTACTTTGCATATTCTTAGCAAAATAGGGTAGTTGGAGTCTCTTTTAATTAAGTGTATCGAGAGTGCTTTGCATATGTGCTACTATAAACTTTAGCAAAGAAAATTTTCCATTTTTAATTCAATAAAATCTTGGAATATATAGCAGACTATTAAATAGTCTTACTATCTTAGCACCTTCAACCTTATATATAATTATAAAATCAGCCCTTTTAAGGGAAAAATTCAGTCAGCCTTTTCAGAACAAAGATTAATTGGAATGGTTATCTATATATAGGTCTTTTTTTTTTTAAATTACTTATTTCTTAATTTGTTAAATTGTTAGCTTCTAAGAGAAAGTGTTTTTATAAATTTTTTTTTTTTTGAAACTAAAGTGTTCAGACCAGCTTACACGTACCTCGACTAATTATCAAGAGAAACTAGCGTAACAATCCACAGTCATAGCCTCCCACATAAATTACGGATGCTCATATAAGAAATCAGACCTGAGACCATACATCAATCCACACTATCCACTTTATCACATCACATAGAAGATGTATTAAAAACTTTAAGTCAAAATGACCTCAAATGCATGTTTGAAATTAAAGAATGGGTGAAAACCTAATTAAAGGTGGCATATAGGTAGTGTTTTGGCAATGAGGTGACAGAAACCTAGGAGGATGAGGACATGAAAGAAGAAAAGAGTGGTTGAAGATATATATTAAGAAAGTTATATAAATTAAATTAAATTAGGTTTCTATTTATAAAGGAAAGTGTTGATAAGATGTTGCCATTCAACACCTAAATCAATGAAATATGACCTAGATGGCATCCTTTAGTAGCTTTGTTTAACACAATCAACCATAGAATTTCAACATTATTATGTTAGTTTTTATCGATGCGTAATTTTGACACCAACGACTCACACTTATAAAATGTTAAGCTGGTCTTAAAAATTACACGTGAATGATTATGAGAATTGATTATAGTGCAGAAATTACATATGTATATAAAAACATAAATAATAGATTGACAAGAGAGATTTTTTATAGCAGTTCGGATGCTTAAAGCGAATCCTACATCCATTGTTATTTTATTATTCTTTGACAATTTTTCCGGTATTGCATATAAGACATACAAAAATGAAGAAATGTTTTATTTACAGAGAAAAAATAATGGTTGAAACTCTCATTTGTGTCCAACTCTCATATGTCCAGCCTCCTCTTTCATGAAGAGAGGAGGTGTCTTTAACAGTTAATATCACTTTGTCTTTGAGTATTTGTTAAGCTCTAATTGGTGGTGTTGATATCGATGTGTATTTTTGGCACAACAATTTCTCTATTATTCCCACCCCTTTCTTTAATGTTTCTCTAATAAGTGACTATTAAATTATAGTTTATAATAATTATAAATATATAATCTCTTATTATATAAATATATGACAAATATACACAGTTAAAAATTATATCCATCTCACATCGTCGATTTGGTAGACTGTTATAGTATATATATATATAATTAGATTTTCTCTTTCTTTGAGCTAGCTTTTAGGTATGAGTTCTACCAAACCCGACTCCCTCCTTCCTTGAGTTTATCATACACAATTCATTTATAACTATTTGACTATGTTCTTGAGTTTCCAGGCTAATTTCTCCTTTTTGTTGGGAGGAATTCACTTGAAGCCTAATGCACAATCCTAAATTAGATGTCTTATATGTATATTTTTAAACCGTTTTGGTCAATGTTCAACAGTTTACTATTTTGTAATGACACATCGTTTTGGATACAATTTTTTGGGATTTAAGTTTAATATATGTAGCATTACTTTATTACTTTAGGTGCGATTCTATCTAATTCAATAGTGTTTGTTTGATGGGTGATTGTGTGAACAAAATTTGATTATAGGAAGAGAATCAGAGGTTGAGATGATAAAAATTGAAAGAGTATTTGTGCGATGGTAAGTCTATGGCTTCAAATATTACGTGCCTAATTTTACTTGTGAAAGGCAAAATTGTGTACATATGCTGATATGCCATATATTGATTATTGGGCTCTTATTTGGGCCTCTTAGACCTTATTTTCATACTAATCTCAACAATTTTTTTATTGTAAAGAAGGTTATCACATCCTCAATTTGATAGTTTGTTATTATGTATATATGTGATTGAAATTCAATCTTTTTCTTTTTTATGATTAGGGTGTCTGAGTTAGCCTTTTTTTTTTTATGCTCAGGGTGTCGGACCCATTTTTTTTATAATCGGTAGTGTTCAGACCAATTTAAATGCACCTTAATTAATCTCCCAAGACCTTGAAACTTCAACTAATCCTTCTTTGTTTTTTATGATCAGGGGTGTCTGAGCCAGTTCTTTTTTATGATTTTTTTATGACTGATGATGTTTGGGCTAGTTTTTTTTTCTTACCGAGGATATTCATGCCAGCTTGCACGCATCTCCCAAGACCTCAGAACTATAAACCAGGTAAGATCTATAATGGTTATTCTATTAAGAGATAAAGGAACTCGAACTTAGAATATTATGTAAACTTAGATTCTCCTTTTCTCTTTTACCATTTAAACACCTAAATGTTGCCTCTCCCTTAGTTTTTGGGAGCGAGAAAATGAATTTTTTTTAATAAATTTACGTAAATAATACTTTATTGTTTTAAAATAATTAACATTTATTAACCAATGAACTCTTATTTTCTTTATTATTGGAAAAGAAATAATTTTATATTAATAAAATATTTTGTAAATATATATGCACATTTACTAACACTTCGATCTAACTCGACTCTAACTAGAACTTCACCGACTCATGCGCTCACTTTCTGTCTCAAAATCAAATCAAAGAACATGGAATTTTCAGCCACTTTGTTTAACCAGCTCAAGGTTTGAATTTCTTCTTTCTTATTCTTTTTGTTATGTTAATTTCGGCAGCAAAATGGATTTGTTTTTGACAATGTGTGTGAAACTTAATAGGTAGCAGAACCGTTTTTCTTGTTAGCGGGTCCAAATGTGATTGAATCAGAAGAACACATTATTCGAATGGCTGGTCACATTAAGACNCAAATCAAAGAACATGGAATTTTCAGCCACTTTGTTTAACCAGCTCAAGGTTTGAATTTCTTCTTTCTTATTCTTTTTGTTATGTTAATTTCGGCAGCAAAATGGATTTGTTTTTGACAATGTGTGTGAAACTTAATAGGTAGCAGAACCGTTTTTCTTGTTAGCGGGTCCAAATGTGATTGAATCAGAAGAACACATTATCCGAATGGCTGGTCACATTAAGACCATATCCAACAAGTGGGTTCATTCTGCTTTTTTATTTTTTATTTATTTATATTTGTGTTGAATTCTTAGTGATCATTGGAGATTATGAGTTTGTTTGCTTTGTTTTGGTTAGTTTTTCGAGGGCTATCGTGTTTCAGGAATTGGGTTTTGTTTATTTTGGTTATGTTGATCTGGGTTTGCTTTCAAGTTTTTTCTTTTTTTTGTTTGAGTTGAGTGTGGCATATCTTCGATGAGTGTTTGGAATTATTTACAGTGTATTGCTTATGCAATGTGATAATGTTGTTGCCAACAAGAGTTCCTGCTATAGTAAAAATTGGTCGGTGAATTGGGGAAAGGTCTGTTTTTGTGTGCCATTATGTCATGAAGAAATGAAAGAACTTTTTTATGATAGGGTGTTCCTTTTTCAAGGTTTTTGTCGCTGAATAAAGTGGATATAACGTTTGAACTGTCTTTTAGATCTTGATTGTGAGAGGCTTTTTTTTTTTCGCTGATATTGTAGAGTTGGGTTGCCGCTGGTTTTCAAGTCAAGTTTTGACAAAGCTAATAGAACATCCTCAAAATCATTTCGGGGTCCAGGCATGACTGAAGGCCTGAAGGTTTTTGTTTCTTGTTATCAAAACTTTTAATGTGTTGTTCTTTATGGAATTTTTTAGATCTTGTTAAGATAGGATATCACACTTGCGCAAGTTTCATTCTTTTTCTTTTTCTTATGTTTGGTGGCAGATCCTAGAGAAGGTTAAAACAGCATATGACCTTCCCATTGTCACTGATGTGCATGAAACAGTTCAGGTAAATTTTTATCTAGAAACACTTGTTCTATGCTTATATTCTCCATTGTGTGTTCAGGCCCTTGATTTTTTTGGGGCATTACTGATTGGATAGTGTTAAAGGTGATATTACAATGTAAAGTATGGATGGCACTGCTCTTATGATGTCTTTTTGATAATTTACTGCTTTTCTGAAGGACATTCTTTTTTCTTTCTGATTATAATGACCATGTTAAGTCATTAACCATTTTGTAACATTTGGTCCAAAGTACTAGTGAAGTACTAGTGAAGTATGATATTTTGATGAGTTGAAGAAAATGAATGAAATCTTTGCTTGATGATTTGTCTGCCTCATGTGCACTGCTGCTTGTGTAATGTGTTATACAATTGAATGATTGATTGTGAGGACAAGGAAAATAAATACAGGATTGTGTGGTTTCATGGTTTACTATGTTAGTCAGAAATCTCTTTGAAAGATATGGTCACTAAGCCCCATAGTTTTTAGCTGGTAAATGTTTGAGGGAATCATAATGACCTGGTATCTTCATTCAAGCATTTTCATCCTCATTTATATCTGAATATTAAGTTTTGAACTGCATTCAGCTGAGTAATGAACTTCTCCTTTTCTGAGCCAGTGTGAAGCAGTTGGCAAAGTTGCAGATATTATACAGATTCCAGCATTTTTATGTCGTCAGGTTGAGTTAATTTTCGTTTTATTAGAATGAATTGCTTCCAAAACAGGGGTATTGATAATTTGTTTTGAAGGATTGGCCCTTCTACCAAATTAAGTCATCTCATTGTTGATCTCTCAATAACAGACAGATCTTCTAGTTGCTGCGGCCAAGACTGGAAAAATCATCAATATTAAAAAGGGCCAATTCTGTGCTCCCTCAGTGAGTGTTCCTCCTCACTATTCTCTGACAAGTTACAACCTATTTGTTAGTTCATTTGGATTGCAGGATTTTGATATATGCATAAGCATTCATCACATTATGTTTAATTATTTGATAACATTGTGAATTTACAGGTCATGACAAATTCTGCTGAAAAAATTAGATTGGCTGGAAATCCAAATGTTATGGTATGCGAGAGAGGAACCATGTTTGGCTATAGTAAGTTAACCAGTTTTTTTCGAATGCCGTATGCCATGGATTCTGAAATGCATTTTCAGTCCCCAACTATAGTTCTGTTGTAAAAAAGATGATATGGAGGCTCTCTAACATCTCAGAATTCTGATTAATTCAAACTTTAAAATCCTAAAGAGCAGCACAACAGTGAAAACAGAACTACTGCATAGATATTGTTTCCACTGTCACTTTATTGATTTTGTCTTACAGAAAATGAGTGCCATAGTTCCATTAGCTGCGCAATAAGTGCTAAGTTCAAAGTGAAATTTAATATTTGGTTACAATTTTTTAATATTTATGTATTGGCTTAAAGGTAATCGAGTTAAATCATATATTTTTATTGTCTGACGCTTAATTGGAATCCCGAGTGCTAGTTCTATTTTAATCATATATTAAGATTACGCCATAGTTGTATCATTAATTTATTTTGTTATCCACTTGGACTGATCATGCATTTGCGATTTGGTTTGTAGATGATTTGATTGTTGATCCACGGAATTTGGAGTGGATGAGAGAAGCTAATTGTCCTGTTGTAAGTGAAATGTTCATTTTTTAATGCTCTCAGTACTTTGACTTAAGCAATATATTTTTCTTTTTGGTGTAATATGGAGCATAGAGTAGCAACCAGATGAAGCACCTAATGGTTGGAAGAGAACCCTCAGCACCTCAAGCTAGTTGTTAGTTTCTAGAAATTTTATATTTCCCTGATTATGGATGATTCAAATTTTAACATTTTAATATTAGCAAAAATTGGAAATGTTAGAAGTTGAATTTGTCTCACATCGCCCCAATAGTGGGCTGTTATAGTGTATATAAGTGATTGGGCTCCCTCCTCCCTTGAGCTAGCTTTTGGGAGTGAGTTCTACCCAAGCCCATTTTATCATGGCATCAGAGTCACGTTTGTTTCTCTCCCTTCTTTGGTTGGGGTGATGATGGGTTTGGATCCCGGCCTTGCACGTCGAGCGTGAGGGAGGGTGTTAGAAGTTGAATTTGTCCCACATTGCTCCAATAGTGGGCTATTATGGTGTATATAAGTGATTGGACTCTCTCCTCCCTTGAGCTAGCTTTTGGGAGTGAGTTCTACCCCAGCCCACTTTATCAGGAAACATTATGCATTACCCACAGATTCTTGTCATTGGGTTTGTCTTTCATGCTTTCATGTGCACCGTACATCAGTTGTCTAATATCTGTTTTCCATTGATACATTGAACTACAATAAATGGAACAGATCAAGTTTAATGCTCCACCCATTGGATCTGCTTGGTAAAATTGTTGAAAAAAAAAAAAAAGGTGTTTGCTTCCAGCCAGTGATAGACACTTATCATTGGACTTTAAGATGATATTTAGGGTGACCAATGATTGTCCCTAAAATTCCAAGAGTGATCCTTTAGATAATCCTTTTCAAATCTATTGTATGTGCTTAGTACACTCATGATAAACTGGCTGAAATATTCTTTTGTGTTGCCTTCCATTTTACATACTGTTATCTGGAAGAAAGACTTAGCAATATATTTCTCTGCAGGTGGCTGATGTCACACATTCATTACACAGCCTGCCGGGAAGAAGGTGTGCATTGTACATTTTGTATATGATAACTAGACAGTGTTTTATGTTTCTAATCTGTGAAAAAGTTAATTAACCTCAAATTGTCATTCAGTTTGAAATTAGAGAGATTGCCTCTGCTATCTGTATACTATCTGCATGGGCTTGACTATAATGTCGAAAAGATATGATTTTTTACTTTTACTTTAATAGAAGGGCTATTCATGCTTTTTTGTTGAAGTTGGATGGTGGAGGTGTTGCAAGTGGAGGTCTTCGTGAACTTATACCATGCATTGCAAGGACACTGTTGCTGTTGGCGTTGATGGAATTTTTATGAGGTATAGATCATTTGCTATAAATGATTGGTTTAGTGTCGCTTTTTCTAACTAACATAATACCAAGCATTAGACTGGTGAAGACTACTTTGAAACAAAATGGATTTGGTAAATGGTTGAAGTTACTGGCAGTCCCTCTTATTATCACAATTACTAACTTGAAGTTCACCAGAAGGAAGTGCTATTACAGATCTTCCTGTTTCTACTATTCCGTGCAGGCTTGCATCTACCTGATTGCTTTTGAGATTGCCATTCAATAAAGATTGGCACAAAATTATAGTTTGTGTTATTTTTCCCTCTTTCCCCTTTCTGTCATAGTATATATATGATTTGTTTCTAAAGCTTCTTTGAATGGTTAGGTACATGATGACCCTTTGAATGCACCAGTTGATGGCCCAACCCAATGGTGAGTTTACTAATACTTTCTTCTGTTCACAAATTTGGAGACTTTTTCGTCTAATTCACCAGCAGTTTTAACATTTTCTTTTTTCCCTTGTCTATGACCATAGCCACTCCGGAATTTGGAGGAACTACTACAAGAGCTCGTGGCAATTGCTGTAAATTCTTTGCTCCTTAATCTGTGTCGTTACTATTCTGATAATCCTTATGTAGAGACAAAATAAGCCCCATCTTCTCTCATTTTAGTTCCTTGCTTTAGAAAATATAACTGCTCAATTTCATTGTTTATGGAAATGAAATCGTAGAATTTTTCTTCCCGAAATGCCTTTTGCACACATCTCGGGCTTTGGTTGGAGAAATCTTAATGGCTCCATTTGGTTCACATTTTGTGTTTTTGGAAATTTTTTTTGAAAAATTAAAAAAGTTGAATTGGGCGTATTACGATGTAGGATTTATAAATTAATAAAATCCCCTTATGTTTTTTTTTTTACAAAATATCCCCTATAATAAAATATTAAAATTAACAAAACACTCTCAATCCACCCTCAATACGGATAGTCGGTCACCACCGGCTGAGGGGTGGTGGAGTCGCCGTATTGGCACATGACGGGTTGGTCTTGTAGATTGTGTCGATATGACATTTTTCGGCCAAATCCACGGTGGATCTGGTCGGCAAAAGCTAGATCTGACCGATTTTCTATTCAACGACGCCACAAAACGGTCGTCGTTGATGGTCAACGACGACCGTTTGTTGGCCATCGTTACCGACTGGTTACGGTCAACGGTCAGATCTTTGGTCTTAGATTTGATCTTTTCTGGTCAAATCCACCTGGATCGGGCCGAAAAAGGCTAGATCGGCGTACTATCGGCCAGATTCAGCCGGTAGTGTGTCATCTTACCAGATTCCGACCATTTTCTAGCAGTGGTGTTTTGTATTTTTTTTAAATATTTAGGGATATTTAATTAATTAGCAAATTTAGGGTTTTAAAAAAAGTTGAATAATATTGTGAGTTTTTTGTTATTTTACTGTTTAACTTTTTTGAGAATACTAAAGTAGTATTCCTAAAATGTAACCAAACGAAACCAATGACTTACAGTTGGGACCTGTTTGAGTATACCCTCCTCAGCCCCAGAATAGTATAGATTTCATTTTCTCTTTGTGCATGACATGATATTATTCATATTACAACTTGTAATTCAAAATTGACCCGGATGTTTGTAATGTCTAAAGAGGGTAAGCAAGGGGAAGCAACGCATGAACATTGATCTCGCACCATTTCGTTTTTAGAAAGACTGAATGCTTCTCTTTAACGGTGAGCAAGCAATAACTTCACATTCTGTTCTCTCTCTGACGATGATGATATCGTTCTAACACTTCTTGTTGCACCCTTTTTTTTTTCCACTTGGTTGCGCTGCAAGTATGCTTATCTAGTCTCCGACGAACAAGTTGTAATCTGAAGGCAACAGGCACGAATTAGAACATCCTGCACAAGAATGAATGATGAACTGATATGAACAAATTGATTGTTTGTTTGTTTGTATTCCTCTTATTGTGGATTAGAATCATATTGTTAGTTTCTTTCCTCCAGTTTAAGTCCAAAACTCATACATTATGTAATTTACCAATTATGTTTCACATTATTCACTAATATCCCGAGAATTAATCGAAATACGTGTAAGTTGGTCTTGTAAAAAAAAATCACTAATATGTCTTATAATAATGATACCATTCACATTCACATTTTATCATAGTGATACATAATTCTATATTAAATTTTTTAAAAATATTTATTATTTTAAATTGAATTACAGCCCAAATAGTTCAACACGGGGCCGCCCTATGCAGCAGCCCAAAATTGCTGCCATTGGAGCGGCCCAATACGGCAATGAGCCCACAAAATAACCTGGAGGTATTAATGTAACCATTAAAATTTGAAAAACAAAACTGAACCAGAGAGGCGGACCTCTAAAAGATTCACAACAACGGTCGCTAATCTAAATTCACACACACGTACTCTCTCTCTCAATTTTCAAATTCTCAAGCAAGATCTCTAATGGATCCACTTCATACCATTCATGAACCGTAATTTCTTAATATAACTTAATTTCATCGCACGGTTCTTGTAGTACGAAGAATTTAGTTTTTTTTTTTTTTTTTTTTTTTAAAGAAAGAGAACAATTAGGGTTTGTAATGTTTTTAGAATCTTTGGGTTATGAAGGAAAATTGGGTTTTTTTATTTTTTATTTTTTAAGTGGTTGGAATGGGGTTTTAGGAAGTAACTGGGCAATTTTTTGAATTTTAAGATTTCTATCTTCTGACATTGATTCTGTTCTTTAACCTTTAGGTTATTAACTTGAGTGGGAGATTCTCAAATTAAAATAATGTATTACATAACCATTTCTTCCGTTACTTTTCGCTCTCATTGAATGCTCTTTCTCTAGACATTGGATCAGAAGCCAAACAGTGTAAGGAATCAAGAAGCAAACAAAATGGTGGCTGCTAAAGTATGTAAACAATTTTTAAACTTCTTTTTTTATTTGATAATGTTTCCTTCTTGAGTTACATTTATTAAAAGTTTGTGTATTGTAAATTTTAGGGAAAATTGAACATGGGCCTCAATCGAATCTCTGAAGATAGTCATACAAGTAGGAGTGGTGAGGGTTTCTGTAGTTTCTACTATTTGTTTATTTTGGAATTTGGTGCTTGGTTTGTGATTCCGTTTTCTCATTTGCTTTGATGTAGTGGGCGTCAGAAATTTTAAGGTGTTTTCTGAGAATGAAAGGGTTAAAGACGATACCAAAAGCATGTAAGTGCAGCTATATTCTGCGCCTTGTGTTATGTTTCATTATTGGTTATACACAAGTCAATGTTCTCTCTCTTTTTTTAAATCTGCTGCTAGAGAGAGCCTTGCACCTGCAACGCTTGTAACTTCTCTTGTGGAATTAGAAATTTCTAACTAAGGAAATGAGAGAAAGGAAAGACAATGTAAATCAGGGTCTTTTAAATTTCTCTTTTGGTTTAAATTGAACTAAGAAACTCTTGAATAAATTGAAAATTTAAGTTTTAAACAAAGATTTGTACCCTAATGCTTACTCTAATTCACCCCCTCATTTTCATTTGCAAATTAGACCAGTTTATCTTGTGGATTCCTGGACAGACCCATCTTATCTTATATTATAATTTAATTAATAGTGTGAGATATTTTTGAGGATTTGATTATAAGACCTCTTGCTCAAATATGCTCTGATGTTATACAGAAGTAGAATTAATCACACAAGACTAAATTTCTTTGTGTTTTTTTATACTGCAGAAGGAATTCTGTATCAGTTAGAAAAGGCGCTGCTCTTACTAGTACAAGTGATAACAAGGTTTTTACCTTCCAATCTGTTCTCTTATTCTCTGTAATTTGATGTAGCATTGTGTGAGATTGTATATTATCTCCATTGACAAGCAATTGTTTTCTAAATAAATTATTGTTGGATTTATGGATTCTTGTTTAAGGGCATTCTTAACAAGGAGAATGACAAAGGCAGGTCTGGTACTTCTGGTAAGGTTCAATTATTGTTTATTTGTGTCTCAAACTGGAGTTGTATGTTTTCAGAATAATTTTATAGTTGATTGGCTCTTTCAGCTAACACAAAAGTTAGAAGAAAAGCGTTGGGTGATGTCAGCAATATATCTGGAAACATTCCAAGGAACGTAGTGCATGATGGTTCTAAATCATTGTGAGTCTCTTTCTATTATTATCAACTGCTTCCCCTTGAATTATCTTAATTTAGTTATTATGGTTTACATTTTATGCACCATCATATAGGATTACTAATATTGTTGAATTTTGAACTGGTTGGTCTGAAGTTTCTTGTTCTGTCGCAATGCAGGAAGAGCGTGAGAAGTGCACTCTTGCAACGGTATGCATATTTTGTCTTTATTAGATTCACCATTGTAGATTTCGTATCTGCATAGGTTTATTAAAATGATTCAGATCAAAGATTGACTCTAGAGTTTTTGGGAGAGTTAATATAAGATGGATCTGTGTATAACTTTTGAGTCATATGGGCACTTGATGTGATCATCTAATGAATATACTGTTGGACTATTATTCCAAAAAAAGAAAAGAAAAAAATCTTTGTCTGTTCGTGTATCTTTTTACATGCAATCTGTGTGTGCATGAATTGTGTGTGCGTGCCCATTATTGTGATTGCATAATCACAAGATTTCGTGATAATTAAATCAAAACTTGATAGAAAGGATAACAACTTTACTATAATTTGCACCGCTCATAAATGGCCATTAAAACTGCAGTTTGGTAGTGAAGAGGAGAAGCAAATTTTTCTTCTTCTCTCCTCTCTTTTTGTCCTTGTAATTTTGATGTTTGCTTCTAGTACATGCATTTATGCATGTTAATCTTGTCAGAATTGCTGGGTTTTTTTAATTATTATTTATTATTTTTTTTATTTTTTTGCCTCTTCCAATTGTTACGTATCTTTGCAGGGTTTCCTTGGGTACAGTTGCAAGGACTACAGATGTCTCATCAAGAAAGTCTTCCACGGTATTGAAATAAATACTGAGTTAATCATTAATACTGCCTTGCAGTTTATATCTAGTATAGGGGTAAAGGGGTTCTAAAATTATTTAAATGTGCTAGTTTATAATGGTGGAATGTAACATTTTCATCTAATTTCAGTAGAGGGGAATGACCTTTAAGCTATCCATACCCATGGGAGGATTCTGCTCTTTAGTTCCTTCTTTTACCTTAATTAAACATCCTTTTCTCTTTTTCTGTGCCTAGGGAAAAGAAAGGAAAATTACGAGTCTAGGTGCTGTTGCTGTCCATCCTGCAAGGAAAGGTTACTTTGCATTACACAGAAATCTTACTTTTAAAATGTTTTATGGCTAAGCATTACATTTTTAGTATTAATTGGACTTGGAGATTTGTAGGTAGCAAAGATTTGGCATCCTCTTCAGATGATCAGTGGACCAAGACCAAAGGTAGGGGGCTTGTATCTGTTGCCATTCCCAGCAGGTTTGTGCTTTTAAGTTTTTTTTTTCGTTCTCTCCCAATTTTGTTTTAGTCCTGGTTCTCAAGAAAATTCTAATGGTAGTTTCTTCTATATGTCAGGACTTCCAGGAATCCTCCTATACCAACAAGGTTTGTGGATCTTCAAAATGTTCTTTCATGTGTTAAATTTATAATATAGATCTGCTATTGATTGGGATTACTATTACTTTCTCTATTAAAGGGAGTCTTTACCAGTGCTAAAGAGGGTGAACCAGGAAGATACAAGTACTTCAAAGGTTGTTGTAAACTCTTTCTTTGTCCGTCACAATCTCTCTTCTCGAACTGCATATAGCTCACATGAATTTAACAATGTGTCTTATCTGCTTGAGGGCTTGTCTGATTGTAACTCTATTTTATTTTCTGCTTCTGAAAATCCTTCAGTCTTTGAAATGTCTTTTGCAACGCTTGCTTCTTTTTTATAAGTAAACTCTTAAACAAAACCAATTAATCTAGGTATACAAGAAGCATAAAGAGAAAATCATCTCTTAGACAGAAGAAGTTAGCTACTACGTTCTTTATTGTAAAAGTTATTTATATCAAAAGAATCCTAATATGGTTTTAATACCAGCCATTTGTAGGTGCAATTAAAATACTAAATGTAGGTATCTCTTTGTAGTTATAGTCTTCAGTAATATGAGCTCCTTGTGTCATTTGTCCAGCCAATTGTGAAGATGACACTTATTGGTCCCAATGCTAAAGGGACTTCAAAATCCAAGCATTTGTCAAGCCTGAATAAATCGAAAACTGTTGCTGCATCGAAGAAAAAAGAGAAAGTTGTGAGATCTTCTCCACCGGAGAATATTGCATTAGTAGTTTCAGATGAAACAACTCAAGGAAAGCCTTTAATTGATGGCAATACCAATCCAAGCACAGATTCATCAGATAACATTGCCAGGAGAAAGTCTGATCGGAGGAGAACTTATACATCTTTATTGATGGCAAGATCAAAGGTTGGTGTCTGTTGTATTCTAGTAATGCTGTCTGTCACTACTTGAATAAAATTGGCATTGTTTTGCAGTTTATAGAAGACCAAGGTGAAGTCATAGAGCAAGAAAAGCTACCAAGCATTGATGATGACTGCAATCAGCTGGAAGTTGCTGAGTATGTTGATGAAATCTATCAATATTATTGGGTTATAGAGGTGATTATTCACTTCTTTTCATTGCCTTAACTTTTTTTTTTTTTCCTCCAATTGTGTTTTCATCCTACTTTGTTCAGAATGGGTTGAAATATGTTTTCATTCTATATTTGCCAAGTATTCTAATGCATATTCTTCAGAAGTATGAAAGCCAGAAATATTTGGTTCCCTAATGGATATCATGAGTTTTTAAGAACATCTCTTCAGTGAGCATATCTATCTTTTAGTTTCATGTGATAAATGTTATGTAAACAAATCTTTGGCATTAGTTATAGATACATTTAATTTAAAGTTGCTGGATGAGAAATTGACCTGCTGAATTGCCAGTAAGATGCTAAAATTTCTTACAAGTTAAAATGGTGATGACAGAAAAATCTGCTGCTAGATATTGGTTCCGACAAATGACTTAAAGAAAAAGCTGGTTAGAACCTTAGCCATTACGGGGGTTCATTTGGGATCATAGTCGGTTGTTCTTCTGCAATAAACATCTTTGATTGATGTAGCCTTATGTGCTCCTAGTGCCAACTCAATGATTGTTGGCACAATTTGCATCAAGGTTTCCTTTAATGGTCCTCACAATGTTTAATCATACCAAAGAGGAGGCACATTCTTTCATTCAATAACTCTTCTATGTATCATTGAAAAATTTCAAAGGAGAAAGATCGATGTTCTGTGCATTAGGCAGGATTATTTTGTAAATTTTGCACACTAATTGGTCATGTGTGTTGAAAACTGAAAAGAGATGGTAGAGGCCAGTTCTTTTTTCTTGCCATCTTGAGTTTTTGTTTTGTGTGGGTTGTTCTCAGGCCATCCATAGTTTAAAGTGTCGGCTTCAGCAATTTTGTAACCTCGAGATGTTGGTCAAATTCTGATTTTGTTCTGTTCGCTTACCTCTATATTGTTTATTTCAGTCTCCTAGCTGTTCTGCATATAATGTTTAGCTTGATGAATTCTGTGTAAGCTAAACTGGCTTCTCATGCAGGCACAGAATCCACCTCAAGAAAATTATATGTCAATCCAAACAGACATTACACCTCAGATGCGGGGTATTTTGATCAACTGGCTAATTGAAGTACATGTCCATCTTTCTAAATGCATTCCACTCTCTTTTTTATCATTTCCTAGTATTGCTTTGAGGCTACCACAGTGCTGATATTCACTAAGTTATTGCCACTCTGGTATAATAGGTACACTTCAAATTTGAATTAATGCCAGAAACACTCTATCTCATGGTCACATTGTTAGACCAATATCTTTCTCAAGTCAAAATTAAGAAGAATGAAATGCAATTGGTTGGTCTTACAGCACTTTTGCTGGCATCAAAATATGAGGACTTCTGGCATCCTAGGGTAAGTGATACCATCAAGAATTTCACACGGTACCTTGTATATTATATTCTTTTCCTCTTCTTTTGTTTTCATCAGCTATTTCCAAACTTGCTCATCTGATATTTTCTGCTCCCCTCATTGCAGATCAAAGATTTAATTAGCATCTCAGCTGAAGCGTACACAAGAGTCCAGATGCTTGGATTGGTATGCATTTGCACATGGTTGAATTTCTCAGGCAAAATTAGTTTCTCCTACTAAAGGACTTTCATCGTAGTTGTAGGTTTATCTCCTGTTCTGTTCTAATAAAGGCAGTGGTATCCGAATTATGTTGCTTTCTACAGTGGTCTTTCTTGGTCTTAGATATATACACTGGCTTTGACATTTCAGGAGAAGCTTATGCTAAAAACGTTGAAGTTCCGCCTAAATTTGCCTACTCCATATGTCTTCATGTTAAGATTTCTCAAGGCTGCTCAGTCTGACACAAAGGTATTTAAGCTTTGATAAAAGTCATTCCATCAGAATCTAACCGTTTAATACACTGTTAACTTATAAAAGTTGTAACTAAGAAACTCATGGATATAAATTTGCTATTGTCCCTTTGCTTGTACTGTTGCTAGCTTGAACATCTGGCTTTCTACCTCATTGAGCTGAGCTTGGTAGAATATGAAGCTTTAAAGTTCAAGTCCTCGCTGTTGTGCGCATCGGCCATCTACGTTGCTCGATGTACCCTGCAAATGACTCCAGCGTGGACCTCATTGCTGGTCAAGCATGCACGTTATGACGTGCCCCAAATCAGGCACATCTCTTTGAAATTCGTATCCTGCAACCTTGTTACTTAATGGTGAACTATACTTATATTTCCAATTATTTGCTCATCGCAGGGATTGTGCAGAGGTGATCTTGAAATTCCACAAAGATGCTAAAAAAGGGCAGTTGAAGGTCACTTATGAGAAGTACATGAAGCCTCGTCTCAGTTGTGTTGCTGGAATTAAACCCTTAGATAGACTTCCTCTTTAATTTCCCTTGAAATTAATGTTTTAGCTCTGGGAAATCAGTATCCTTTCTACAAGTTTGTTGAACGAAAGAATGGCTAATATTTCACGAGTGGTTTGTATATTTTCCATACGGGTTTTATTTTCCACAGTAATCACAGTATCAGTATTTTTTTCTACAAGTCTATCGTATAAGTTTCTAAGATTAAAGCTGCATTCATAATAGAAAAACTTTGAAAGCAATAAACAATAATTTGCATTATCAGTAAACTATCAATAGATCTATAACATTCAACAATGACTCAAAGCAAGCTTAGTTATTCAATAAGATTCACAATCTGAAAACTGCCTCCAGTTAAAGCAAGAACAAAACTTCCATAAGTTGTGTAACTAGTGCTCAGCAAATCTGAAAGATAAACCAATTTTACCCTTTCTAAGCATGAATTCTTACAGTAGTATCCCTGCTTATGTACATATTTATCCTGATCCTTCGACAAAATCCATTATTCACCAATAGCTAATACATTATTCATGTAAGTAATTCACTAATAACACATATATGTATAGATATATATATGATTCGTATACATTATGTATCAAGTGGAGCTAATAACTATGAACAAGTAACCAAACCGTCTTGTACATTTAAATACACTTCTTGATTTAACGTCTCCATTACTGCATGGTAAAACTCCACCCATGAGGATGAGTACACGTCCACAGGACCCCATAAAAACGTTGGATTAGGACTGGCCGGGCAAGCAGACACCAAATCCAATACTGATGCTGCTGGTTTAAGTGGTTGTGGGAAATTGAATGCTAAATTATCGACTTTGTGTTCATAAATTTTGCCAGTTCGATCCAATTTATACCTTGAATTACCCTGAAACTGGCCTTCAGCCTCCCATGGAACTCTGGGAACAGCCCTCAAATTCCACCTTATGACTATCACATTCTCTGAAGGTTGCCAAATCCTTAATACATCAAGCGAAATCTCACGGAACAGAATTTTACCATGAAATCTCAATGCCCAAAAGATCAATTTGTATCTCTCAATGCCAGTAAATGTATTCAATGGGTCCACAAATGTTATATCCTCCCTGAAAAATAATTACAATTCATTAAAATCTACGGTTTTATGGGAAAACACAGTAATTCAAGATAAAAATCTAATTTTTCAATGATACCAAAGAACATAGAATCCTAGAATTTACCGGGAAACGAACAGAAATTCAACAATAACAATATACTTGTAAATGCCATAAAGTCTAAAACTTTCTAGGGAAACAAAATCAAACTACAAAAATAAGAGACACCCATATGAAGAAATCATCTCTAAATGTCATAAAACCCTAACTTTTGCTGAGCAACAAACACACAGAAAAATCAAAGAAAATAAGAGATACCCAGACGAGGAAATCACCTGTAAATGTCATAATTGAGGTCTCTGGTAAACAACAAAGGCATATCCTCCCGTAGAGTCCTCACAGCAAGGCCTAAATTGACATAAAAATCATCTTTTTCATGGTGGTGGTTGTCCTGCTCCCGCGGTGGGGTCTTAACCTGCGCATCCTGAAGCGTTGGAATCTGTAGACTGGTTACAGAAGAGAGAGCTAGAGGATAAAAGTTATGTCTTGTTGTCGATGTTGTTTGGAGAAAGGGCTTCTCTTTGGATGCTCTGGTTTGAAGAAGAAGAGAAGGAGAGAAATTTGGTAGAAGAAAAGCCATGGCCTTTTTATTAGTGGAGCTGGAAAAAAAAATGGTTATTTTTAGATATTCATGTGGAGAGGTGGGCTGAATTGTATTACAAGTTCTAGAATCGGGAGTGTTTTTGTGTCGTGAAATAAGTGTGTTTTGTGTTGTTTAGAAGTGTTTTGGGATTTTGATATTGAGTGGTTTTGAACATGGCCATCAAAGGGGTTGTCTGTTTATTTGATTGATTGGTAGCTATGCCAATTTGTCATACTTTGAAAATAGTTAACTACCTTTTCCCACCCCAAAAATCATTTAATTACGTCTAACCCTCAAACTTTTAAAATATTATTTTAATACCCAAATCAGGATGGACACGAATTGGGGACCCCTATCAGGCTATCCTAGAGTCTGACTCAAAGGCTCATGGGGATTCCCCTCGAATCCAGCCCAATCCCCTTTGGGAATCCTCGAACTCAGCCCAATCCTCAAATAGGGATTTTGGGGAATCCCCGAACTTCCCGAGAAAAATATAAAAAATTATACATTATGCCTATTTGATAAATAATAAATTATTTATTTAAGATATAATTTTTTTTAAATCACTTATCAAATTATTAAAGAGAATTTAAGATAAATTATAAATAAATAACTACCATAATTTATTATTAATTAATTTAAATGTCTTAATACATATATATTATGTATTTTTGTTATTAACATTTACAAGTTATTTGAATAAAAAATATATTATTATCTATCAATAATATAACATATATATTAACATTTAGTCATTTACGTACATATCAAATAATTGATATATGCATATTTAGATCATTATATTTAATATAAATAATTTATCTATTATTATTTATTACCTATTTATATATGGTTTCACTCAATGTTCCCACAATTATATTATTATAATCACTTTTGAATTTGATCAATTAATAATATGAAATAAGTAATTATTAAAGTGGTAATTTCTTGAAAAATATGTTTTTCTTTTACATTAGTAAATTACTAAATTATGTATGGTTACATGATACAATTTATTGTGTCTCTTCATCTTTATAATATAATGTATGAATTTTCTGAATATCACATAAAGTTCCTATTTCTTCTTCTAATTAATCGGTAAATTCAATTTAGAATGATTTTAAATGTCAATTTAAATAATTAATTTGTTTTGATATAATTTATTGATCCATTGATTGATTTTCAACTATTCAAATTAATATAAGATTAAAAAATTAAACCTAGGGGTGGGAGAAATAATTCGGAAACCGAACTGAACCGGTTCAGCTTTTGGTTTACAAAATTTAAAAAACCGGAAAACCGGTTCAGTTTTCAGTTTGAGATGTTTTTCAAACTGGTTATACCCTAAGTATATAAGCAAACCTTTATTTTTTTGCAATATTCTCTACTTCTCTATTTCTCTTCTTTGCCTCCAAGCTCCAATCTCCACAGTGCACACTCCACACCAGACTGAGTAGACTCCACTCACTCCATTCCACTCCACTCCACTCCACTCCACTCCATCTTCGATTCTTCATTTTGTTGCACTTCGCCTGTTTGCCAGCACCTAACAACTCCATCCACAGTGAGTTGACAGTCCCACACCCATCCACTCCAGCATCCATTTCGCCAACACCCACTCACCCAGCAGCACCATTTAGCACAACAACCACCCATTCACCAGCGAAAAGCCGACGACGACAGTCCATAGTTGTTGCACTGTAGTTCACAGCAACCCCCACTCACCCACAATCCATAGCATCACCACAACAACCACCCACAGATCACAGTCCACAGCCGCAGCTCTGCGGTGGATCTATTCCTTGAACTAGGAACAGTGATGACGTCACAACAGTCGAGAGTCGACTACCACAGCTCTAGTTTCCACCGACAATCCTCAAGCTGCTCCCCTGTTCCACCATCAGCATCTTCTAATTCAACAATAGATTCGGTGAATATTTAGACATTTTATAGAACTATTTTAATTTTGTTTGAGTTTGCAATGTTTTACTGCTTTCAAAATTTGCCATTTGTATGAAACTTCTTTAGTTTATTTCGGGTATGTTTTTGGTTATGGATACAAAAAGCTATGTTAGAAACAATGAAATTTATGTGGTGTATTGACAAGGATTATTAATCTTTATCCTTCTTGATATGGGTAATCTTTTTAGGGCTTGATTATTGTCATTTTTTATGGATCCTTGTCAATTTTAAGTTGTGTAAGAGAAGTTCATACACCTAGAGTCATTCTAATCATGAGAGGGGGTCTGTTTATCTTCTAGCTGTTAAGTTTGATAATTGAACTCCATGGATATTTTGAATGAGGAGTTAGCTTTTCCTCTGGTTGATTTAGAGCATCTGCTTTCTGCAGAAGTTCTTCCTCACCATTTCTCATCCTGCATTCTCGTATTGGGTAACCCAATTCCATTTGCATGTGAATTACGGGCATCATAAGTTATGTTTTGATCGAGTGTATGAGTGCAATTTTGTATTGACATTATTTAGTATATATGTTAAATATTTTTAAATCGTTGTGTTTTACTTAATTGCACTTGAAAGTGTTTGAGTCCAATTCATAACTCTGGACCCGTAAGTGACTGTATGGGGCATACATTATATTGAAATTTTGAAATTGAATTGAATTTGTGTTGGATTTGGATGGACCCTAGACTATGTGTAAACTGGTGGCCTTATTTTTTATTATTAATTGATGGATGTCTTTATAATTTACATGTCCAAAATTTTCTCTTTTATTTTTAGTTATTGTCAATAAATAAAAGAATATGATTTATATGGATGTCTTATTTACTTAATACATAATTTTATTTGATGGAATTGTAGATGTCATCGGCTGCTGACAATACTCGTGAGACATCGACAAGTACAACTCCAACTCTAACTCCAAATTCCATGCCACCACCAGCACCTTTAGCCCCCAAACGTGCAAGAGATACAAGTACTAGGAAGAATAGTTATCAAATGTGAGATCACTTTGTTAAGAGCGATTGTGAGAATAAAGATGATTTGACTGCGACATGTAGTTACTGTGGGAGTGTTCTAGCATGTCCGAGTAAAGGTAGTATGAGTTGTCTACGTAACCACTTAAATAGATGCAAAAAATATCCTTCAAATGTGGCGGACAAGAGACAGAAGACCCTAATTTTTCAACAAGGATCACGCGATCTCTCAAGCGGCATTGCCCTCTCCGCATAATCTTCATTGGTGTCATGGAAATATGATCCAGAACTGATTAGAGAGTCTATAGCAAAAATGATAATTGTTGATAAGTTACCTTTTAGTTTTATGGAGCGTGAGGGGTTCCGCAACATGATGAATGTGACACAACCTAGGTTTCAAGTACCTTGCCGGAGAACCGTGACTAAAGATTGCTTCAAAATGTATATTGGAGAGTGCCAAAAGTTGAAGAAGTTTTTCAGTAAGTTTTCGCACAGAGTTTGTCTGACGACTGATACATGGACAAGCGTTTAGAACCTTAATTATATGTGTTTTACTGCACATTTCATTGATGATCATTGGCAGCTACATAAAAGAATTTTAAATTTCTGTCCAATCACTAGTCATAAAGGTATAACGATTGGCAAGACAATTGAGAGGTGTTTGCTTGATTGGGGTATTTATAAGGTATTCACAATCACAGTAGACAATGCTAGTTCTAATGATGTTGGGGTAAGCTATCTCAAGACTAGACTAGCAAGTTGGAAGGAAAGTGTATTGGACGGTGATTTTCTATACATGAGATATTGTGCATATATTTTGAGTTTAATTGTGAAAGAGGGGTTAAAGGAAATGGATGACTCCATATTTAGAATACGTTCAACAGTGAGGTATGTAAGGTATTTTCCAGCAAGGTTACAAAGATTTAAGGGGTGTGTGGAGAAAGAAAAAATTGCAAGTAAAAGTCATTTGGTTCTTGATGTAGAAACCCAGTGGAACTCTACATACTTGATGTTGGAAGCGGCATTAAAATTTTAGAAAGCTTTTGAGTTGTTGGCATTGGAAGATAGTAAGTATGCATATGAGCTTACTAGTGGTGATAGGTCACGAGGTTTGCCTATGAGTACTGATTGGGAGTTTGCTCACTACTTGTTACCTTTCTTGAAAGTATTTTACGATGCTACTCTACGTGTCTCTAGGTCTCTTTATGTTACTGGTAATGCATACATGCGAGAGATTTTTGGCGTAGGGTTGAAGATTTCAACATGGTGTAAAAGTCTTGATCTTGGCTTATGCAATATGGCTACACAGATGAAAGTGAAATTTGATAAGAATTGGTCAAATGTTGATAATATCAACATTATGTTATTCATTGCAGAGGTACTGGATTCTAGGCACAAATTGGAATATGTGGATTTGGTAGTTAATGAGGCCTATGGTGTTGTTGAAGCTGACAAGTTAATGAGAAGGTGAAAGAAGCTTTGTTGTCTTTATTTGAGCAATACAATTTTCTTATGGTGGATGACAATGAGTAGTCAAGTGAGAAATCTCAAGTTTCAATTGACATTGATGTGCATGATGCAAATGTTGATAATGAGGACTTCATGAGGGTTATGTATAATGAGAAAAAGGCTACGAAGAAAGTTGTTGAGCATAAAACAGAGTTGGATAAGTATTTAGTGGACGATTGTGAGGATGACAACGACAAAAAATTTGATATCTTGAATTGGTGGAAGACTAATTCAACAAAATATGTTGTACTTTCTATGATAACACAAGATGTGTTGGCTATGTCTGTTTCAACGGTTGCATTTGAGTCGGCTTTTAGTACGAGGGGTCGTGTATTAGATCTATTTCATAGCTCCCTTACTACTAAGATGGTAGAGGCTCTTATCTGTACACATGATTGGATTAGGAATACGCGTGGATCATTGACCATTGAGGAAAGCTTGGAGGAATTATCTAAAATTGAGTGAGGTGACATTTTTTGTTAACTTTCAATTATAATTATATATTTTCCATCATTATTTATGATTTTAGCTAACTTGTTTGTCCAACTTTGTGTAGAGTTTTTCTTTTCGGGAGTGAAAAGTAGTCTATCTCATCTCGATGATTGAAGGGTATTTCAAATTTCCAATATATGAGGTATATTATCATTGATGATTAAATGGTTTAGGGTTATGTTGGTTAAATTTTTTGGTTATTTTGGTTAAATTTTTTGAACAATTGTTGTGTTTATTTGTTGTGAACTGATTTTCAATAGTTTGTTATGTTCGGAAGTGAAAAGTAGTGTAACTCATCTTGATGATTGTTGTGTTTATTTGTTTTAAGTTTTTTGAACTACTTTCTATAGTTAAAACTTATAAGGGAATTAAGAAGGGAGACAAGCTCCACGCCTTTACCTATTTTGCACCATCCTTTGCATTGATATTATTTTGTAAACTACCTTTTGCATTGATATTATTCAATAGACCATATTTTGCATTGAATTTCTGTTTTTGGAGAGTTGCTAACTATAACTTTATTTATTGCACAAGTAGATACAGATGCAAGCCTGGAGATAAGAATTTTGAGGAAGACTCTTTTTATTCAGTAGCACTATAGCAGATTGAAGAAGTTTGGACTTCGGCTTTGAAGATTTGAATTTTGAAGAAGACTTTTTTTATTTGGAAATATTTTTTAGTTTTTAATTATGCCAATGTTTTTATTAATGAGTATTGAGTAATGTGTAATTGAATTCTTTATGTTTTTATTTCATATTTTGCATTCAGTATTTGCAAATAGGTAATTTAATGTATTTTTCACACAAAGAATACAACAATAATACCCAAATAAAAGAGAAAAACAACATGAAAATATATATAAAATAATAAATATTTGAATTTAGGAACTTAAATGTAAAAATTGAAGAATTTTAGGGGTTAATTTGAAAACCTGTTAAAAAACTGGTTAACCGAACTGAATATTTGGTTCAGTTTACAACCGATTTATAATCGAATAACCAATTCGATTTCCGGTTTGCCTAATCCGGTTTAGTTAACCGGATATCCCACCCCTAGTTAAACCTGATCAAAATTTTTAGGAAGAGTTAGTAGTGACAATTAGATGCAATTAGACTCTAATTAAAATGAGTTGCGTTTGTTTAAATTTTTGAACACTATCCTATCCTATTATCCAATCCAATCCAATCGAGTGAAATAATTATTTTTTCATTCAACTTAAAATTCAATAATATTCTATTCAACTTAAAATATTTAACAATTACTTTTCTCAATAAAAGTTTGTAAATTAACAAAAAAATCACCATCCACCTAACTATTGTTAACAGTAGACCACCACTGCCGAACGATGGTCGAAAGTCATTAAAATGGTACACGACCGATTGGATCTAATCGGTTGTGCACCGATATGGTCATTTTCAACCAGATCTACCACAGATTTAGTCGAAAACGACCAAATTTAGGACAAAGATCTAGCTGAAAAAGGCCAAATCGACACACGATCTAACAGATCCAATCAGTCGTGCACCATTTTGAAGACTTTCGACCACCGTCCGACAGCGGTAGCCTCACCAACAATAGTTGGATGGGTGAAAGTATTTTTGTTAATTTATAAACTTTTATTGTAGATGATGTTTAATAAATTAACAAATGTAAGGGATTAAAAAATACTATAAATATTTTTTATAAAATTCTTTCTAAAATACATCCTTGTAATCATATTCTATTTGATTAAATAATATTCAATTATATAATACTATTCTAAAAACTTAAACAAGTGCAGCCATAAATTACATCAAAATAACATAATATCATGTCATTAAAAAAATTAAATATAACATCTTTTGTATCAGATTTTATCAAAAGCATTCCCAAATTTATATATATAATATACGGGTGAATCGGGATAGGTTGGACTGGGGATGGAACTGTCTTCGTCCCCGACCCGATCCCAAATTCAAAGATTCCTTTTGGGCCGAGGCCCAAGCCCGATCCCCAATCCATTTGAGGAATCTTCACCCAGTTCGGGCCAAGTCACAACAGGTCCTCGCCAGGTCAAGGAACACGCCCATTCCTACCAAGGGGGCGTTTGGTTGAGGGTTAAGTGGGATTACTGGGGTAATGTCATCTTATATTACTTGATTACCATGTTTGGTTGTCAAGTAATATCAGATACTGGTAATCTTCAAATACTAATATTGGTTACTATTGGTAATATCAGAGGTAATCTGATTACCTCCATTTTCTTAGGTATTATGAGATTACCAGGGTTATCTTTTTTTGTTACAATTTTATCCCTTATTAATAAAAGTTTTACACAATAATACCCCTACTTTAAAACAAATTTACATTAATATCCTATTTCAATTTTACCCTTGTTTAATTAAAATTTTGGACAATAATACCCTTATATTTAAAATTATTTACGGACCACCACTGCCACCCAGCCACCACCGCGGACAGCAGGCCAACCACCACGGACCACCGTCGAAAAATTGTCGGAGTCCCTAATGAAGAAGAAAATTCTGTGTGAAGCTCTGGGGAGCTTTGTTATGGCCGTTTCCGGCCATATTGATGGCCGAAAACGGACATATCAGGCCAGATCCGTGGCTGTTAACGACCAGATCTGGTCCAGACCTGACCGATAATGGCCAGGGATCTAGCTTGATATGGCAGTTTTCGGCCATCAATATGACAGGAAACGGCCATAATGAAGCCTTCCGGAGCCTCCCACAGAATTTTCTTCTTTTTTAGGGGCTCCGGCGATTTTCCGGCGGTGGTTTGCGGTGGTGGCAGGCGGCAACAGGAGGTGGAGGTGATTTCGTCATAAATTAAAGTTTTTTATAAGCAGGGTGTTTTAGCTAAATCTGAAATATTGGGGGTTAAAAAGAATTATTCAAAAATTAATAATAAAAATAATATTATATTAATATTTAAAAAAGAGTCAATTTAGTAATTTAAATAACATACCCACCAATTTGTTCCTATAATCAAACATATTGATATAACATACCCATCAACTAACCAAACATATTTTCTTAAAGATTCCCAGTAATCTTCCAAGGTAATCTATCTTTCCAGTAATCTAACATTCCCAGTAATATAACATTCCTAAACTAAACGCCCCCCAAATATCATATTCCATTAGTAGTTTATGTTAAAAACCGTAATATTCATTGTAAAAACAAAAATACTCTAGATTGAATTGATTTTTTTTTTTTATTTATCATTTGTGAAGTCAATAAAACCATTGCGAGTGAAAAAAAATTATGAGAAAAGATTGGTTATATAACATTTTCCATTTATATTATATACATTAATTCTGTCAATTTAAACCGAATGAAATTTGGGAATTTAATTCAAATCACAATACATTTTACTCGATAGAATTAATGAAATCTGGGAATTCACAATGCATTTTACTCAATCGAAACCGAATGAAATTTGGGAATTTAATTCAGATCTCTTCAAGCAGCTAACCTGCAATAATCACAATGAAAACACGCAATGTGAAAAAGGGGTAGAACAAAAAGTTGAGGGAAAAATAACATCATTGACATTGTCAGAATTTAGATTCAATATACATACTGGAAAATACAGATTCAGAGAAAAGCATGACGGGCAAAGTTTAAAATACATGGTGGTTGATGGCAGATGAGTAGTCGAAACTGTTGTTGATACAATTACTGGGATTCAAATGAACCATATAAAAACCATAAACCATAAGATGAGAATAAAATCCAAGAGATTTATACAGCAATCAAATTTGCAGCTGGATCAAGGATGAGTGAATTAATTCACTGACAATTGCTTGAGATTTATTAAAATACATCCAAAAATTAAAAGCTTAAAAAGAACTGAGCAACAAATTTAATCACAGAAGAGAACAAGTACAGTTCCCTCAGAACATAAAAAAACAAGTATTCAGTCATCCAATTATCAGAATTAGCATGGTCGGTAATGAAACATCTCTGGGAACAATTCTTTAGCGGTGATTATGCAAAAATTCAACATAAGCACATAAATCTTCACAAGAAATAGAAATATTAATTCTTTTCACACTCAATCACGAACAAAATCATGTAACAACCTACATTCAATTTTTTTCAGATTCTCTTCACTTAACACGAAATAAAACCAAACTAAGAAACACGCTCAATTGTGACCTAACAAAAACAACTTTTTCAAGATTTTAAATAAACCAATGAAGGAACATTCAAATCATTCAAGTTCCCTTAGAAAAAAGTAAATCTTTCGGTCATAAAACAATCAGATATACACTAGCATGATTATTTTGAACCATCACATGGAAAAAATATGAAACAAACCCAGATGAACAAATACAAAATAAAGAATACCCAGATACAGAAACACATCAAATAAGCACAAAAACAAACAGTTCATTAAACTGGTACAAATAAAAAAGTTTTATGTTGCTCAGATAAATGTTGGAAACAGTCTATATTCACTGACCTTTGAATAACAAAGGCCTCATAGAGCTGGGATTATGCATTTATCATCATTGAACATTGAAATAATTTTTCTTTAGCACACACAAAACTGAACACCTAAAACCTAATCACAGCTACAAAACCACACATCAAATAAATTATGTTCCATGATTTCATTCATCAGAATCTCATCTCAACACTTTCCCATCTATATTTTTCAAGTGATATGAGGCTGCAGTCTAAGCAGCATATTCTTCCTTTTGGGCCAAATGCAACTTGCAAAACCAACAAGCATATTCCTTCTTTAGGGGTATTATTTTCCTATAAAGATTGAAAGGGGAGTACAACTGTACAAGATAGCAAGAGGGCCTGTCAGAGAAGTTGTTATAGCTTCTACAGTTCCACAAGTTTTGACATCAAACCTCATCTCCATTGCAAAGGTTTTCAAATTCCCCTTTCTATCATAATTTGGGTTCCTCTTTTAATATCTACCCATCTAGCACATTTCATTCCAATATTATAATGCTCACAATCACTTAAATTAAAATGCATCCAAACATGAAAACAAGTAATATTAAAAACAAATATAAAAGTATAAAAAAACTTTGTAATACAAATAAAGCTTTCCAAAAAGGAAAAAAAACAGAAAACGAGTTTCAGAAAACAGTGAAAACAGCAAAAATGATGAAACAATACTCAGTCCCTTAGATGTTCATAAAGAGTTTGTGATCATTTTCACAAAATCATTACAGGTCTGTTGGATCATCACTGTTTTTCAGTAATTCCTCTAAATCAAAAACACAATTAATTTTTTTTTTTTAATATAGGGAAATCTGAATGCACAAAGCTTAGAAATTGAAAACAAAGTGCCAGAATCTCATTCCCCAAATCCTTCTCGGCAACGTACAGCGCTGAAAACGCTATTGACAGAAGCGCATCAGAGACTCTAATTTATTGCCTTTTTACTCCAAAAATAAGTTTCCGAAAAACGAACACCAAACGGCTCAGAGAATAGTAGAAGATTTACATCAACAAGCTTCCTCTGAAAGCTCTCAAAGTTTGATGGTATAAATTTGAATCATCAGCGCCTGAATTTATAACACAAAAGCAAAAGAAAATCGAAAGGAGGCCTCAGAAATCAATTGAATAATTGAATGCATCAAGGAAAAAGCATCTCAGATGGTACGGACAATTTGTGAGCATCACAGGCCCTTCATCCAATTCATCTAACATAAAGAAAACTAATCTAAGACGGAGATACAGAGACGGCGAGAGGAAGAAGATGACATGAGATTGAAAATTGAAATGACGGGTTAGGGTTTATGTGGCCTATATATAGAGTGAGAGGTGCTTTCGAAACCCTAGTTTCATTCTGGATTTACTTATATGCCCTTTTTCTGTTTCCAAGGCCCAGGCCCAGGCCCAGGACCAGACCCAAGGCCAAGCCTTCAAATACTCTCTCTAAATCAGTATGTATTTCATGATAGGAAATCATAGAAAATGCAGCGGAAATCTCAAAACCCTTTAATTAATTAGCTCAATAAAGCTGCAGTATCTGTCATTGCATATATTTACAGAATCATCAAGCTAATTGAAGGCTCTTGGTGTGTTCAGGTCGATGTGTAAACTCAAAATCTATATGCACAAAAGCTCTCTCAACTTCAGGCAATTGTTCAAGCTTCTCCTGCAATGTCTCTCCAATGTTATGAGCTTGGTGCAGTAACATGTCCTCTGGCAACACTATGTCCACCTCCACAAAATAATGTGACCCAAATGTGTATGCTCTCACTGTATCAATGTGCTTTATCAATTCATGATGATTCCATATCAGATATGTCACTTTTGCCAGAAAATCTGGCGGGGCAGTTCTTCCTATCAGTGAAAATACATTCTCCAGAACCGTCCTCGCCCACGTGCCAATCGTGTAAAATGCTATCTGCAGTGGCGGAACCAGAAATTTATTTGAGCAAAATTATCCAGAGGTAAATAAATTTTAAAAGATTTAGTGATAGTTGTGGAGGCTCACTATTATGGCTCCAGTTGGGTCAATCCACCAGGAGAGTTTCACAGCTAGCACAGCCGTGACTAAACCAATTGAATTGGTAATGACATCAAAGAAATGATCTTGTGCATAGGCTCTGACAATTTCGTTTTTGAATCTACGACAGTAGATCATTAGCACAAACTTGACCACTGTCACAGATGCCATTATCCCAATCATCCATTTTTCTTGCTCGCCATCCATTTCAGGTCGAGACTGTATCAGAAGACACCATTCAAAAGTCATTGTTCTTATTCAAACAGACAGATTGGCTATGACCGAAAATTTTTCAGTGGGACGGACAATATGTACACAAAAGATAACATACCTTTGTAACTATTGCCCGTGCAGACTCTAGCAGAATTTGTAGTCCAAGAGTTGCCATTACTGATGCAAAAACAATGATGCCCTGTATACTTGAAGCTGATTAGCTAAATGTGGTATGCAGAAATTGAACACAGATTTTAGTATTGTCAAGAACAAAATTGATAACTTACTACTGGTTGCATCCTCTTCTTTCCAATTGGGTAGTGATACTGGTTTGGATTTTTCATGGCGTTTGAAGTGAACCACAAAATAAAACCTGATAAAAGATCTAGGAGGGAGTCCAGAGTTGAGGCAATTACTGCCAAAGATCTGCTTTCAATAGAAGCATAAACTTTTGCCATAAAAAGTACCAAGTTAGTTACATTTGATATGTGAACTGCCAACCTCTCACTCTTTGCAAGTTGCTTCATTTCATCCTGAGCAAAATTAACCATAATTTTCAGTTTTTAGAAACAGAGCATCTACTGTTTGCTTCGCTTAACAAAAAATGAACGCAGTGAACACGCATTAGAATTACCTCGGTTAGGCTTTCAGGCCAACAACCCTTTTCAGTCATGATCTCCATATCACTATACCCTTCAAGAAGCCTTTCTTGTTTCTTGTAATACTCTGAAACTTTCTTCTGTTTCTCTGATATGCAAAATCAATCAAAGTAATTAAAGGTTTTTGATGCCAAAATCCTTTAAGCAGGAAATTATTTTTACTTTAATTAAAACCACTGCTACAATCCAAAAAACAAATCAAAATTTTCCATCTAGTTACTGTGTCAAATTACCATTGCATTGGATAAAATCTAAGTTCTGAAAGAACTTCAATGGTTCACCATTGATTAAGAAACTTTATAAAAGAACAGTTGTTAATTAAGTTTTATCCATGTCACAGTCAACAATGAACTCACTTTTAATAAAAGTGACAAGACCATAAAAAAAACCAAAAGCTGCAATGGAAAATTAGGTAGATTAATAAGAACTAATATCTAATTAATTAAAATTAGTTTAATTATATTAAAGTGCAATGGGGTTGATTTCTTTTCTTGTAGAGAATTCTTACAAAAAAAAAAGGAACTACTCCGGAAACATTTTCTGGAAATATCTGCTACGTATAAAGTTTTCTTAATGAGGAAGAAGAAGAAGAAGAAGAAGAAGAGCGAAGAGAGACATACTTGGGATACAAAGATGGTGAAAGAAAGCAGAAGTGTGATGTTGATGAGGAGAAGAAGACACTGTATGCTGTGGTATACGAAACCTATCAAGAGTGAGGCGCCATGCAGACGACACCGCATTAACACGATTATGATCATCATCTTCTTCTTTTTGTCGAAGAAGCTGAGCCTCATGAAGAAGATCAGCACCACCCTCTTCAATAGTACTGCAACTCTCATCTCTACTCTCCATGGAATTCTCTTCTTAATTGAATATAAGTTCAACTAAGCAACCAACAATAACGTTTCAGAGAAATTTTTTGAAGAAGATGGTGATGATAAACTGCTTCTTCAGCAAAACCGTCTTCTTAAAAATGGTTAACTAACGGGTGTCTACTTATATATACACGCACAAACGTGGCATCATTTATTATTATTTTTTTCTTTTCAAAATATACTAAGAATGTTTGAGATACGTCTCTATATGTATGTCTACAAGAATTACAGGTTTTCTCGACGTAGGAATCACATACAGGAAAGATATTCCACCCCTCTTTCTCGGTGTGGACAATCTGTAATAAATTAAGGAGCCCCATATTTCTTGATATCATCATAACTCATGCAAAAATATTGCTTCAAAATATATGATAAAATCATTGTTGTTTTGTACCTCATATATTTTGCCGTTCCTATGCTACACTTGTTTTTGTTGATTTGACATTTCTTCAGATCATCTTTTCGAACACGACAGGTTTAGTGGATTTGAACCGTTTGCTAGAACATTATNATATCATCATAACTCATGCAAAAATATTGCTTCAAAATATATGATAAAATCATTGTTGTTTTGTACCTCATATATTTTGCCGTTCCTATGCTACACTTGTTTTTGTTGATTTGACATTTCTTCAGATCATCTTTTCGAACACGACAGGTTTAGTGGATTTGAACCGTTTGCTAGAACATTATGTAGTCGAATTAATTGCAACAAAATCTTGGAATATACCACCCATACACACACATATACAGTAAAATCTCTTTATAGTGGTATTCTACATAAGAATAAATTCTATTTAGCCATAAAAAAATCTATTCCCAATTTGGAATAGTTATAAATAAGAATAAACTCCACATTATAATAAGTTATAATTTTTTTAATTCCCATCTTAAAGAAAGTTGTCCAGGGACGGATCCAGCCTATTTTTGGGTAGGCCCTCAAATTTTTTTTTAAATATTAATATATATAATTTTTGGATTTTGGCCCACCCTAAAAAAAATTTCTGGATCCGCCATTGAAGTTGCCTCTACATAGTAATAATTATTTGTATATTAAAAAAAAAATATATATGCTATGTTATATTAAAGATTTATGATAAAATAAAATGTTTACCTAAAGTTGTTTGAGATAATGATTTATGCTTTAGAGTTGTTACCAAATTTTCTAACTTACGAGTATATAATAACTCGCTAGCATGGACACCTTTTTGTTGAAGCCAAAATATTTCTAGTTTCTCAAGCATCTTTAAAGCTTCATGACACGAAACTTTTTGCATTTTCGTACTATCATCTTCAGGATTATTTTCTTTCTCTTCTTGTCTAATTGCAGCAATGATTTTTTCTTCAATTAAAACATATACGACTTTGTTGCTGATTTGGATGATTGAGGAAGACATTAATATCCATTCGATTAGTGCAATGAAGTTGTCGAATATAATCACTCAATTCTATAATGACTTTTCTATTCTCCTCATCCACTTCATTTGTAACTTGTAATTCATCAACACCGGGGGTCCTAATTTTGCAGTGCTTAAAACAATTGATAATTGTCTGTGGCTTCACATCAATTGACCATGCAGCAATTGCATTTACAATTCCATCAAGGATACATATCTTTTCTGGTTCCAATACATGATCTTCTATCCGTTTCAAAAGTAAGCGATTAAAGCGCTGCCGATAATAATCTTTGAAATTTCTAATAATGCCTGCATCACATGGCTGGATTTTGGAAGTGCTAGCTGGTGGTAGGAACAGAACAGTTGTGTGATGAAGTGGGGGCAGATTCTCCTTTTTGCCATGTGCAGTATAATTATCCAATATAAGCAAGACATTTCTATCCAAACGGCTATCAAACCATTTACGCCATTCCATAAAAAACAAAGATGTCATCCATGCATTTGAATTCGCTCGATACTTGCAATTGAGATTATCACGGTTAACATTATTAAAGCATCTTGGATTAAGAAACTTACCGATGACCCAAAGTGGAAGTTTGTTAGAGCCATCGCCATTGCAACAAATAACAATTGTAATCCTGTCTTTGTTTTGCTTTCGGCCCTCCAACTGCTTTGTTGCAAGAGAGTTATCAACTTGCATTCGATAAAATAAACCAGTTTCATCCATATTATAAATGTCCTTCCAAGCCCATTTGTCTAATTCCTCTCTTATCGATGGCAAACTAGCTTCAATTTTCTCCATATTAATTGAACCACTTTCCCCAAAACGACGAAAGGAATGAATTGCATGTCGTTGCTTTAACTTTTCCAAACATCCATTTGAAAATCCAAATGAGGTGGCTTCGGGATAAAGTTTCCTTAGAAATATATGTCCCTTCTCTTTTAACAATTCACCATTCATATTGACATGCTCTTGATGGCATACAAACCATTCATAGAGGGCAGACTCCATTGTTTGTTACTTTACCATCTTTGAATGTTTTGTGTTTGGGTTCAACAATCCTTCTTCTTGAAGGAGGTCAGTTGATCTTTTGAGTGTTTTAGATATTGCTGTTTGTGATACCTTAAGACCATGAGTATCTTCTAACCACTTCACAAGATCTTTCTGCTTCCAACTAGGGTTTGATTCTTTCATTTTGCACAACTCAACACGAATACTTTCGGTCAATTGAGTTCGTGTATCAACTTTGAGTGGCATGATTGATTTGCTAGAGGAAGAAGAAAGGTATCACTTGAATTAGTGGAAGATTTTATTGAAAAATTGATTGAATAAGTTGAAACATAACAACCCTATTTATAGCAGGCTAATCATAATTCTACTAGGATAAGTAAATAAGAAATCCTAATACTACTACTAAAACAATGAATTGAAATCCTACTAATACTAAAACATGAATTGAAATCCTAGTACTACCAAAACATGAATTTAAAATAGTAAATCAAGTAATATTAAAAGTAAATAGGAAATCTTAATACTACCAAAACATAAATTATAAAATAAGAAACAAGTAATATTAAAAGTAAATAAGAAATCCTAATACTACTAAAATAATTAATTGAAGCCCTAATACATACTATTAAAACATGAATTATAAAATAAGAAATCAAAATAGTTTTTTTGTAACTACACCTCTATTAAGTTATAACCTCCTTATAGTAATAACATTAGTTTGATCCCAACATTATGACTATAGAGATGTTTTACTGTATATTAATTTTCTCTAATTAATTCTTTTAGACAGGCCTTCGGTTGGTTCTATTATGGAGGAACCGATTCCACTTTCTATAGGTAAATTGAAGTTAGGTAAGGCTTAATTATTTTTTAATTATAGTATATGATATAGTAGAGATGGGCGTTTTTCCCTCCCAACCCTGCCCCGCCTCTTACGATGTGGGGATTCCTTGAAAAAATCGGGGATAGGGACTAAAAAATTCCCCGTCATCGGGGATGGGGATAGAGGTCGCCCCACCCTACAAGGAGACTTGCGCACGTGCAACTGATACATGTGTTGGGCGAGGAGTTGGCAGGCTGTGTTGGTTGGTTGGGTGGAGACTTTCTTTGAACAGGTGAGGGCAGAGTGGGGTTTGGGAAGGCAAATGCAGAAGGATGGGGAATGGGATCCACAGCCTCGCCTCGCGCCCATATATATGAGATAGTAATCATCATCATCTATTTCTCCAGCAAGACATTTTGATTTTTTTTTTTTTTTTTTAATTCAAACTTGAATTCTTGCTAATAAGAGTTAATTTTTTTGTACGTCGGGAGTGGATTAGAATTCGTGAATTTCTTTTTCCAAGAAAAGACAAAATTTTGTAAACTTTTGTGTGCGAAAATCCATGGTTGCTAGCAAGGAGTTTAGATTCAAATTTATATTTCCACATTTCATATCATACATCTTGATTAATTTACAACTAGAATTACATTTACTTTTGATCTTTTATATATGTCACAAGTTTGAATCCTCTCACGATATTATGATTTATAATTATCCTTTGTGTTTGGTAAAGGAAGTTAACAAATAAAGTAAAAAGATATTAGAATTCCATTTAGTCAAATGCAGTCTATATATAGGAGGCGTTTGGATTATATAATATATTTTTTTTTTATCTTAGTAATAAGATTACCAAAAAGAAATATTACATTGTAGATTACCGGGTTTAAATTATTATTGTGTTTAGTTCAATTGAGATGTATTAATAATTAATGTGCTTGGTTGACAGTAATAATAGATGTCCTGAAATACCCTTTTACTAGAATGCCCTTGGGATGATTACTTGTACTACTAATTAATTTGTTTGGTTGGCTGTAACAGCAGATGTATTGATTATGTTTTACTAAAATGCCCTTTAGATGATTACTGGGTATAAATAATTAACGTGTTTGGTTAATAAAAGAAATGATCAATTAACAAAATTCCTTTTGTTATATTTTAGCCAAGTATTTTATTGTTAAGTCATTTATTGACAAATTTACACAGACTATTGAAACTCCGAAAAAAAAACTATTGTATTTTCTGTTGGGTATACATTCAACACCTGACCCTGGTATTGCAACAAATATAGTTGCCATCTCCCAATCTAAGACTCTATTTAAAACTTTGATTTGTGTATTGCCACAAATCATAGTTTGTACATGTTAATTTCCACTTTAGTTCAATTGAAGCCTTTTTTTTTTCAAGGCAAAAGAAAAATTGTATTTTTTTGGTTTACACCATGGCTAGAATTTATATGCAAGTTTCCAAATTTGAGGAAATTTGTTAACTTTTTCCACTTATCCTGGGCGGAAACTATGTGTGAAAAGTGTGAGAATTATTGGTACATTTGTCATATCACATATTTTGGAGTACCTGTGCATTTACATTATGCTGAATCCAAGCAATGTTCCAATAAATTAACTACATGCTGTATAACTATTCTTTTTAAATTTGTGAACCAATAATAATACATAATTCCGCACGTTGCAACAGTGAACATAATCACCACCATTTTTTAAGTGAACTCAATTTGACATCTGCAAATACTAATTACACAATACTCAATACACAATAATCATACATAAATGAATAAAACGCAGCCTATGCTATTCAACTTCACACAACAGTTTGTCATGGAAGGTTGTAAATTCAGCCAGTGTAAACCAATCATGCGTCATCTGTGGAGAATAAAAATCAACAACAATAACCCACATATTATAATTAAAGAGACAATAAACAAATCAACCTGATCAATTAAACAATTGTAGTACTTACAAGGTAAGGATACTCGTCGTTGATTGAAAAATCTTCTGGGGCAACTTCCACAAACTTGGTTATATAATACAGTACAAAATATTCGCAATCCATGTCGTTCCGTTGTTGAGGGACTTGGTGAGTGCATTTATCGGTCACAACAAATACATGAAATACTGAACATATCAACCAGTAATTACCATCAACCAACACAATATACTGTTTTATCATCTTAGGCACTAGCAAAGGCAGTTTCTCAATCAATGCTGGATGCTTGGGCATTGTTCCTAATTCATAAATATCCCTCATAAACCTGCATAATTAAGCTTGGACAATTTGAAACCCATTCCAGTACCACATCTCCAACAATATAATTTCATCATGTGCTCAAATGTGCTTGCAAATAATTGTGAAATAATCAAAGTTTACCATTAAATCAGAGGTTGTAGCGTCATTCCATTTTCTGATCCAAGCGAATCAAGCAGCACCATGCATCGAGTTTTAATTTCCAAGTTTACATCTCCACCAAAGTTGCACAAAATCAGCAAACTCCAATGACCCCTGTCAGAATAATTTATGCATATTATCAATGTCAACTCTTAAGCAACCAAAATCAACCCATGTCCGCGTTTGGTAAGTATAAAACAAATGCCTACATACACAATATCTTCACTCACCAGAGGACTATAGGAATAAACACATATTTCCTTGAGAATATGTTCAATTCATCAATCCACTTCAGCACGTTCCCTTTGTACACTTCTTTTGTGTACATAAAAAACCACATGCAGTCCAGGGTGATGAAATTGTGCAAGTTGTCTCCTTTAAAACTCCTCCACAACTTCCTGCAAATCAGAAATATACAGTCAATCATATGAGGTAAACATATTATGTAAATATGGCGTGAAGCATGTAAATTGTAAAACATTTTCGTACCCCATGTGGAGGTTAAACATACTGCTGCTCAACATCCCCCCTCCCCTGCTGTTTGCCAATCGCCTACTTGACCTTCGTTGATTTGTGGCACCTACATATGTTCATCATTCATTTACATTAGCAAACAATTCCAAACATCTTTCATAAGTGAAAGCATTAGTCAGTTTACGAGTTACAAGGTTGGTACCTTTGCATTTGCTGCCCTTTAAGGCTGGAGGAATCTCTTGACATTTTTCATGTATTGAATGACTGGTCCCGCCTACATCTACGCATCAATCAATTATGAGCTACGTTAATAAGTATTATTCCCAACCATACAACAAATTGACTCCATAACTATCCAATCGTAATACCTTTCACATTGCTATCCGTACAAACTGTGTGGCTCTCTTGATATTGTTCACGAACTTTTGTGCTTTTTGTCATCACTACTGGGCAACGTGATGGTCCTCCCATTGTTCTTGCACACCAACCCATAAAACAAAGCACATCAAAGAGGGAAAGAAAACAAAAATTATAAAACTGACACTTTAGAAATGCTAGTATACATTGACCGTACTTCCTGGTGAACTAAATGTCAGTTTCCATAAGTAAATCAAAATGTCACATTCACCATACTAAGATAACAAACATTAAATGCACAGACATGCATATATCTTTTTATATATCACTACCAAAGTTAAGAGTTTTTTACATTCCATATTAGTGATCCGTACCTTCTCGTACTAACTGCAAACATAGAGCATTACCATTTAATTACAAGACAGACATGGTTTTAACAAAAACATAACAAAAGACATCATCCTATATGCAGTTAGAATATAGGCAAAATACAAATACAGGAATACCACTATGTCAACATTCTAATAACCTTGTGCACAAAAAAAAAAAAAAACCCCCATTACAAGACTTCACTAAAAATCAAACGTTGGTTGGTACTCATTACTTGCTCCAAGCTGCATCTTCACATGCACATGCATTGGTAACCCATACAAGATACCCATCTTGTGAGGTTCCTTGCAAATCTCTGTGGTGGCTGTCAGCCTCTCAGTGATTGTGAACCCATCCAATTGAGAAATGATCGAATACACCTGCCCTTTACGGTCTTTCTCTTGGGTCTCCTTCTTGAAGTAGTTAGCAATACCCTTCAGCTCAGCTCAGGTCCCAGCCAAGGCAGTCTCAAACCTGCCCAATGTGGCGTGCCAGTCTGTTGCTTTTCCAGCCTTTTTTTCCTCCTCTTACTGCTGATCGCAACTCTGCTTTGACTAGCAACGATCGCCTGACAAGTAAAATCAACCACATCATCCTTTTGTGGGGCACTAATATGCTCGTCGACATTGAGATCTACATCGACATCCATGTCCATCTGTTCACCATTGTTGTCAGTAGTGTCATTATCCAAGTCTTCAACAACATCAGCTGCTGTCTCCACACCAGCTCTGTTGGCCTTGTTTTTGCCGTAGATGTTGACAGAGGAATCATAATGCACCCACGGTTTGTGTCGCAGTGCTCTTGCAAAAGGATGACTCTACAAAAAAGTTAATCATCATAAGATATATTACATTTGTATGAGTACATATAAACATGAAGTTCAGAAAATAAATGTACACAAATAAACCAACGCAAGCATACTTACCCAGCCCTAGTCATTGAAGACATCCTTGGTACATGTAATGCATTTCTCCTCATCATTCCACCCGAAGTCGTAACCTTTTTCAAGCATGTCGTTGATTGCATTATATTCCAAAGAAAAGCAATATCACCCAAAACACAAGTAACCCAAACATGCCAAAGCTCCAACCACAATGTTATTCAAATAATTATCGAATGCACCCAAAATTCCAACAATAAATCAATTTCAGCATTTCAATTACCTTGCCAAGTCAATTGACCATATATACATAGTATTTCAGGCAACATTACATGCACAGATTGACAAAAAATGCAACCATAAACACCTGAAATTCCAGCCACCATTGCAACCATAACAGTAACCCAAAATGCAGTCCATACACGCAATTTCAGCCTTAACTCACATAAAAAAAAAAAAAAAAAAAACACACCCAGCCAAACATAAAATACAAAAATGAAGCAACCCTAAATGCAATGCAACAAATAACGACATTAAATCAGCAACCTACTGCCATTTCGAACTATTTTCATGTAATTTTAACATCAAATCAGTTATTCCACGATAATATTACCTTCTGTAAAGCGACACATACCAACCCTCTCAATTTAATAATCTTCCTATAGCATAAGGAGATGAGGAACTTACCAAAAATCGCAATTGGAGTGCTGTTGGGAGCAAACAAATGGCGACGAAGAGCAAAGGTTGCTATGACGTAGATGCTGGACCAATGACAGAGGCAAAATGGAGAAGTTAGGGGTTGAAATTGCAATCCAAACAAATCACGTTTAACAGTAACCGAAAATGCAATTCATACACACAATTTCAGCAATTTCAGCCCTAACACACATAAAAATGAACACACTCAGCCAAACCTTAAATAGAAAAAACAAAGGAACCCTAACTCAAATGCAACAAATCACGACATTAAACCCTAAACCCTACTGCCATTTCAAACTATTTTCATGTAATTTCGGCATCAAATCAGTTATTCCACGGCAATATTACCCTCTCTAAAGCGAAACTAACCAACTCTCTCAATTTAATAATCTTCTTACACCATAAGGAGGTGACGAACTTATTGATAACCGTGATTGGAGTGTTGTCGGGAGCAAACAGATGGCGACGAAGACCCGACATTACTGCGACGAACATGTTGGACCAACGACAGAGGCAAAATGGACAAGTTAGGGTTATGCATTGCAATCCAAACAAATCACGCAACATAAAAAGGAAAGAGGGCAAAGGACTTACCAGAAATAGCGATCAGACTGACGAATTGGCGAACGAGATCGACGAGAATAAGACTCCAGCGGCAACGAACAAGTTTTAGAGCAGAGAAGGAAATTGTGGCTGTACGATTGTGAATTTTTTTCTTTTATACTGTAGTTTTAATGAAGTTCAAGGGCATATTGGTCACAATATGCAAATATCTGAGGATAATATGGGTACATCAATCTTTGTGGCATTTCTTGAAAAAAAAAATGATAAAAAGCAGGGTAGTTTCGTTCGGAAAATCAAAAAACTGAGGACAAATACGTCTGTTTGTGCAAATTGGCTATTTTGTAATTATTAATAAACCAAAGGATATTTTCGTCCGCATAATCCACTGTTTAGGAGCAAGATTGGACAGAAATTATGATTACCGGAGGAATGTTTTAATAACTGAGGATAATATGGGTACATCAATCTTCGTGGCATTTCGTAAAAAAAAAATGATAAAAAGCAAGGTCGTTTCGTTCAGAAAATCAAAAAACTGAGGATAAATACGTCTGTTTGTGCAAATTGGCTATTTTGTAATTATTAATAAACCAAAGGATATTTTCGTCCGCATAATCCACTATTTAGAAGCAAGATGTGGACAGAAATTATGATTACTGGAGGAATGTTTTATAAACGCCACACATCACCCCCCTCCCCCCCCCCCCCCCCCCCCCCCCCCCCCCCAAAAAAAAAAAAACCCCCAAAGTAATATTAATCCCTGCAATTTACCCCCTTTTTGGCATTGCTTATCATCTTATTTTCCCGAAATGTTTTTGTACAAAATGCCAAATATGGTTATCTACTCAATTAAACAAATATTACCCACGTTAAAAAATTTCAAACCAACAAGCCTCTCCAAACGGCCGCATATTATAATTAATTATGTTTTGAGTGGAAAGATAGAAAGGTCACTCATCAAAGGCACTTTTAAAGGTATATCCACTAGGGTTTATTATATGGGTGGCTGCTCCATGCACGCTCATGAATGCAACAACAATCATGCTTACCCACTCTGATTTAATTAATCAAGATTAGGACTAACTAGTGCAAATTTCATCACCTTATTATTTCTATATTATTATCTTCAGCACTATATGATTTTTAGATATAAAGATATCTCTACTTAATTTTATATATATCCCTAAAGCGAGATAGATAAACAACTGCTCATCTCACAGATTTTTGTTGCTTGCCCAATTGGGTTTCTAGTCATACACTAATTGCTTATTCAACCAAAAGAAATCCACCTGATCACCCACAACCAATAGTTGGTACTTTAAGAAAAGTCTAAACATCCATGAAAAATTTGGAATATATACAACAACCCACGGCCACGCTATGACCCAGTGCACCTTGACTAATCCTTGAGGGAGACTAGCGCAATAACCTATCATCATGCCACGACCCTCCACTTAAATCGGGTATACTCAGATAGGGAATCAAATCTGAGACTGTCCAATTCGTCTTAACCATCTGAGCTACCCATGGATGGGTTAACTCTTGCATATATAAATTAACTCTCTTGTAAGAGTCAACTCAGGTATATTTTTATATAAAGGTGAAAAAATTAATTATATTTATGTAAAGAAAGAAAATCTCTTATTATATCTTAGCATACCTAATAGCAAAAATAATTTCACACCCTTACAATAAAGTAAACAATAATCTTAATTCTCTTTTTCGGTTTTACAAAGATTATACTGATTAAACAACTTCAAATTGAATAATTATCTCAGTTTAGATATGCTATTTTCTTGGAGGGTTATGCAGGTTTCTTCTGCTTGTGCTCAAGCTGATGAGTAGTATTAAAATCAACATGAACAAAAGCTCTCTCCACTTCAGGAAATTTCTCAAGCTTCTCCTGTAGAGTCTCTCCAATATTATGTGCTTCATGGAGGGTCATTTCTCCTGGTAAAACTATATCAACTTCCACAAAATAGTTGCTCCCAAATGTGTAAGCTCTCACTGTCTCAATGTGGCTGATATCCTCATGGTGATTCCATATCAAATATGTTAGCTTTGCCTTAAACTCTGCTGAAGCTGTCCTCGCAATCAATGACCACACGTTTTCCATCACTGTGTTTGCCCAGTTTCCCATTGTATATAAAGCAATCTGCGCGCATTACAATAATGAATATCATATCAGTTTCATTCGAATATATTTTCAGGTGTGAACGTTCTGATAGGAATTTCGGATTTTAACTTACTAGGATGGCACCGACAGGATCGATCCACCAGTAGAATTGGATGGCTAACATGGCTGCTGCAAGACCGATGGAGTTAGTAATGACATCGAAAAAATGGTCTTGAGCATAGGCCCTGACAATGTCATTTTTGAATCTACGGCAGTACATCATTAGCACAAATTTTACTACTGTGACTGACACCATAATCCCAATCATCCATTTTTCTTTCTCAGGATCCCTATCAGGCTGAGCCTACACAAAGTTAACAAACAACATTATAAGCTTGATTGTAGAACAGGCTAATTGCAAGTGACTATGTTCCCTAAACTTATCAAGACAACTCTTGTGCATACCTTTATGAGGAGTTCTCGACCTGATTCGAACAAAATTTGCAGTCCGAGAGTTGCCATTACTGATGCAAAAACAACAATTCCCTGAAAAGTAGGACAAGTTTGAGTCAATTTCGTTGTTTCGGATGTCAAAAAAGGTATCACGGATTTTACATTCTAAGGCTACGTGTCAGTTTTTCTTTTATTCTTTTAGCGTTTCTGCTTTGTCATTAATTTTTAGTGAAAAAGCTTACCACAGGTTGCATCCTGTTCTTGCCAATAGGGTACTTGTGGTGATTGGGATTCTTCATTGCATAAGCAGTGAACCACAAAATGAATCCTGATAAAAGATCCAAAAGGGAGTCCAAAGTGGATGCTATGACTGCCAATGATCTACTCTCAACAGAAGCATAAACTTTTGCCAAGAAAAGCACCAAGTTTGCTACATTTGATGCATAAATTGCCACCCTTTCACTCCTTGCAATCTGCTTCATTTCATCCTGAAACAGAGAGCTCTTGTATCAGAAAACATTCAAATGATTTACAAGAATGCACTTGAAACACCAAGTGATTCCATTGTTTCATGAAAGCTGATTTGAAACTATAAGATTCTGCAGAACAAACCTCAGTTAAACTTCCAGGCAAAATTCCCAATTCAGTGAATGTGTCAACTTCATTGTAGCCCTTAAGAAGCTTCTCTTGCCTCTTGTAATATTCCGCAATTTTCCTTCGTCTCCCTGAGAAAAAAAGCACCCAATTCAGTATCAAAATAACTCTGCAAATTAAGGCTATGAACATGTAAAATACAATATAATAAATTAAGGACTGACTTAGGGTTCTAACAAAGTGACCGAAACCAAAACTAGAGTCAACATGTTTCTCAGGAACGTGAAACTTATTTATGTTAAGTCTCCACGAGGGTTCCATTGATTCGACAACGTTGTCTCCATCAGGTGCAGGAGACAGAAGCTCTGTCCGGTAATCGGATGAATCTGTTCGAAGATTGTTCGCCATGTTTACTCCCCAACACATGAAGCAGATTGATCAATTTCTTGCAGTAGAAGGAAGAGCTGCAGCTGCTTATATAATGCTCAAAACTTAGAAAATGAACAAATAGAGAATGACAATTGGAAATCCAACCGCTCCAACTGAGGTGAAGAAAGAAAAGAAAAGATTCAGTGAAGAAAGCATGGAGAATGTTGGTTTTGAAGCGAATCAATTGGATGCTGATATGTTATACTTCTATTCAAGGTTGCTTTTTTTTTTTTTTTTTTTTTTATATAAAATCAAAAATTGAAACTGGAGTAGTTAACCGAAGTAAACATCATCAAACTCATGCCTTATTAAAGAGAATATAATGTTATTAAATTTAGATTTGGTCAAGTGGGGAAGGAATCCTACTTCAGGAATATTACCATCACATTTCTTTGTTCACACTACCAACTATTTTCCAACATTTTACAAGTGTTGTGCCATTCTCATATAACATATAGAAAGAATGAGACATCATTCTATACCCTGCTTCTTCCATGTGATAAATCGTGATTAATCGTATACATATTACTTTTTTTAATAGAGGATGTCATTGCTACTTTTTCTTAGTATTGGATTATATTGAATTTTTATTCTATTGCATTGGGGTTATCCATACATTTGTTGGTTTTGTTTTTAGCGCATTGTTTCTGGATGAGGCTTATGTTGTATTGGCCCGAAAATGGTCCAACAAATATATTATTATAAACAAGTTGAATTCAATTCCTACAATCCAATTGACCAATTTCTGAGTCAGAAGCATCTAGGCTTTTCTAATTATATATATATATAACAAACAAAAATTATTCTATACTATGAAAAGATATGAATACAAATCATTATACCCAATTAAATAATAAATAAATTAGTGGATCATAACTCTAATATTTGAACCATCTTTGAGTGGTCGGATAAGATGATAAAAACTTTTAAGTGTATAAAAGCAGGGACGGATCCCAAGTGTGTTAAGGGTGGGCCTCAATTTGAAAAAAGAAAAAAGAAAATTAAACATGTTATTCTATTTGGTTTAACTTTGGCCTACTCTTAATTTTTATTTTTAAATATTAAAAATGTGGCAAACTCTCAAATTTAAGACTAAAAAGTCTTGACCCACTCTCTATTTTAATACTAAAAGACTTGGCCCACCGCCCACCGTCAATTTTTTAATAAAATTTGTAAAAGCAAAACCTTACTCTACTGTTACAATTTGCAAACCCTCAGTCCGACAGTCCCTCGAGTCTTTGCACAGTTCCTTTACTGTTCTCACTAATTCTTCATATTTCAGACTTCAACAAAATTTAATCAGCTATTTTCTCTCTAGTTAGTACTTTTTTTTTTTTTATAATCCTTTTCTTTTATTTGTGTAGTATGTATTAGCATAATAACATTGTACATTAAATTTTTTATTGAGAAAACTTTTAGGAAAAAAGGAGAAATTTTTAAATTCCAATATTTTGTGATAGGTAAATGATTGTTTTGTGGTCCCAAAATTTAGAAGAAAAATAATATATAGATAATAGAAATAGAAATATAGATAGAACCAAGGAGGCTTTTATTTTTATATATTGTTCAAGTCTTTTAAGACTTTAAGTTAGAAAATTTAGAATTTCCATAGTTATTATAGAATTCAATTCATGAGTTAATTTATTTCTTTGCATTTATATAATTTTATTTTTTTGTATTTAGATATGGAAAAATATTTTAAAAGAAAGTCAATTGTTGAGATATCTCAACTTTGTTCTAGTGTCAATGATAATGAAAACCAACCTTCTTCAAAGAAAAATTGCTTCGAAGTTGACTTGGAAAATCTTTCTTTTGATCCTGGATTTCGACCAAGAATTACTTTTTATCATCCTAATGTTCGAGACCAAGTCAGAATACGTTATTTACAAAAGTGTCCTTGTCAACCTCGCAACCATAAGTTTCCCAAATCAAAATCTGGTGATCATGAACGGAGTTTCCAACGTTCTTGGTTTGACAAATATCCTTACTGGTTGGAATATAGTGTTGAGAATGATGTTGCATATTGTTTATTTTGTTATCTTTTCAAACCAGATAAAGGTGAGCAAAGTGGCGGTGATTCTTTTGTTCTTGTTGGGTTTCGCAATTGGAAGAGACTTGAAAATTTTTAATATCATATTGGAGGTCCTAACAGCTATCATAACCAAGCTTTGAAAAATTGTCAATCTTTGATTAACCAAAAGTAGCATGTGAGTACAATTATTAATAAGAAATCTGACCAACAGCGAGAAGATTATCATATTCGGTTGAAATGATCAATTTCTGCTAGTCGGCTTCTTCTTCGGCAAGGATTGTCTTTTCGTGGCCATGATGAGTCTAATAATTCAATGAATCGGGGAATCTTTCTTGAACTTTTACACTATACAGTTGAGCAAAATGAAGAATATAGATTAGTAGCCATGGAGAATGCTTTTGGACATGATAAATTGATTGCTCCAAGTATCCAAAAAAACATAAGCATTTGCNGATATTTAATGGGAGAGAAAATTAATAAATAAAACGTATAAGAATTTTTAGTTTATTAATTAAAATTAGGATAGAGAGTGAAATTTGACTATCTAAATGTAGAGAGTCAAACTCACTCTCTAATTATATTTTAAAGATAAAGAGTCTGTTCGACTCTTGTTTTTATAGATAGACTCTTTATAATAAAGAGTTTGAGTAATATAAAGAGTCATTTAGAGATGCTCTAACTCAAGAGGTTTTGAGTTCGATTTTCCTTCTTAATAAGGGTGGCCATTGAAAAGTTTATTCAGTTGTTAACTTTAAGGATTCAAAAGATTAGTCGAACTGCGTGCTAACTGACTTGGACACTGAAATTAAAAAAAAAAACTCTAACATATGATGGGTGCGTTTGGCACATTATTTCTACCCATATTCCTAATCCTATTCCCCAAATATTGTTTGTTTTGTTATTTGAGAAATATTAGTATATTTTTTTATTACTTTTAGACCCCTTAAGTTTATTAATTTCATAAATACCCCAAAAAAGTTTAAAAATTAACAAAAACACCCCCACCCACCCATACTTACTAGATTTTGGCAACCACCATAGGTGGTAACTGGAATCTGTCACAACGACCTACAAACAACCGGAACTGGCCGGTAATTCACTGATGTGGCCGTCAACGATGGCTAAAGAAATTACCATCGTTGACCGACAACGACGGCTATATCTTTGGCCGTCACTGACGGCCAGATCTGGACTTTTTCGACTGTTGACGACCAGATCTGGCCGTAGATCTGGCCTTTTCCGGCCAGATTCGTGGTGGATCTGGCTGGAAAAGACCATATCGACACTCGACCCACTAGATCCGACCAGTCTGCATCGTAACAACATTTTCCGACCAGATTCCTGCAGTGGTGGCCGGAATTTGGCACTGTGGGTGGTGGGGGTGTTTTTGTCATTTTACAAAATTTTTATATATTGGGGTGTTTAGTTAAATTAGCAAACTTAAGAGGTTTTTTTTTGTAAATTTTTAAATTTTACCTCGTAATTTGGGGTGTTCTGTTCCGAGTACCCTACATTTTTTGAAGGAACCAGAACCGATAGGTCCTTGAAATTTGGAACCAGAACCAAAACCGACGGTTCCCGTTCCTAGGTACCTAGAACCAGAACCTATAACAACGGTTCTGGTTCCGATTCTGGGTACCCTGTAAAATTCATGACCCCACAAAAGTTTTTAAAATGGCAAAAAAACCCTTAAAAACTTACAAATACCTCCCCACCGGGCACTTGTTAACAAAAATAAAATTATAAATTATAAATTCAAAATTACAAACTCCATTACTTTGTAAATAAAGATTCTCAAAAGTCAAACCAACTTACTTTAAATGTTATGAGATATAAATATAAATGTATTCACATTACTTTTTCTACAAAAATTTTTATTTACCCCCTTAATCTTTAATTTTATTTTATATTAGTCTTGATTCCTGGTTCTTGGTTCTAGTTCTGGTTTTGGTTCCTAGCTATAGGAACCGGAACCACACAGTAACAGTTCCAAAAATTTGGAACCAGAACCTACCCGTTGACAGTCGATTCTGGGTAGGAACCGGAACCAAACCTCGGGTACTCGCCAGTTCTGGTTCCAACAGGTTCTTTTGAACACCCTTACTCGTAATACTCTCCTATTCAACTACCTAAAATTATTCCCAAAATCTTATCCAAAATAATAAAACAAACGGACCTAATATTATCCTTGCATCATATAATGATATCATATATTCATATAAAAAATTAAATATTAATTTGAATAAATTGTTGGTCTCAGATTCAGGGGGCGAATTGAATTCTATATTTAATAATGGATAAAGAAATCTCAACCAGAAGTGAAATATTTTACGACTTACAAAATAGTAAAAACAAAAACAGATAAATCGAAAACGTAAAAAAACGCCAAAAACTAAACTAAAACTAAAACTAAAACAGAGTAACAAAGAAAGAAAGAAAAATAGGAGTGTAAAAAGAGAGAGAGCCAGATACAGAGAGCCAAGGAGGAGGTGGCCAAGCCCTAGAGTTTCTCTCTCAAGAACTTTTAAAAATTTAACCAGGGGTGGTAGAAATAATTCTGAACCGGACCGAACTGAACCGGTTTCAGGCTTTTGGTTTACAAAATTTTAAAAAACCGGAAAACCGGTTCAGTTTTCCAGTTTGAGTGTTTTTCAACTGGTTTATACCCTAAGTATAATAAGCAAACCTTTATTTTTTTTGCAATATTCTCTACTTCTCTATTTTCTCCTTCGTTGCCTCCCAACCTTCCAATCTCACTGGCAGCACTCCACACAGACTGCGTCTACTCCACCCAACCTCCATTGCCACTTCCACTCCCTCCACTCCACCCACTCCATCTTCGAGTTCTTCATTTTGTTGCACTTCCGCCTGTTTGCCCCACACCTACAACGTCCATCCACAGTGATTGACAGGCCCACAACGACACCCATCCACTTCCAGCTCCATTTCGCCAACACCCACTCACCCAGCGCACCATTTAGCACAACAACCCCCATATCACCAGCGAAAAGAAGCCGACACGACAGTCCATAGTTGTTGCACATGTAAGTTCACGCACAAAAAAACCCCCCCCATCCCAATCCATAGCAGCACCCACACACAACCACCCACAGATCACAGTCCACAGCCGCAGCTCTGCA